TTTTTCCGCTGACTCTAGCTGGTTGGAGCCCTCATCCCCGCTTCCACAGTTGCTGCCCGAGGTCGGGGCTTCCAAGGAATTGGGCCTCTGGATGACCGGGGATAGTAGTCCGCACAGCTGGCTCTCGACAGCTTTTAAAGTGCTTTCTCCAGCGGCACTCGCGGAGTGGGCGGACATCAAGATGGCGGGAATTTTACGTTAGAAGCTCCGAAATGCGTTGCCTCAGCTGAGCGACTTCTTCGTCTCTCTCAGAGAGGATCCCTCGAAGCTCTTTACACGGTGGAATGACGCCTTCAACTCCAAGTTCCGGTGACGCGTCATCACCTTCCGAGTTGTCCTGGTTCATCGTTGTTGACCGGGGCAGTTAAGTCACCTCGTTAATGCAAGTAATCCAATGGTCAATAAGGGAACGATCGTCGTCCCCACATAAAGTTACCTTATTTTCGAAGTCCCTGTTCAGGTGCTAAGTCTGGCGACGCTTGTTGGGTCGTCAAGATATGCATTTATTCGGACTTCGTTTAGGTGTGGGGATGCTCGATCCCCATTTTCATGCCCAATCAACCTCTTTTTCGCGATCGCGCGCCTTCGTCACATGGTCGTTATGCCGACTTTATTGGCTCAAACATGTCCAATGCGCTGAAAGCAAACGCATTGCAACCATACGTGCAACTATAATATGTTGGTGAGCGTAACACCAAAGGATTACGAGTCTTTATAGTCAAAAACAACTTAAGTAACTCAGAGCGTTGCAACTCCTGGGGCCCTAAACTCGTCAAACACAAAGTTGGGGCCGAAGTTGATGGAGCGAACCGATTGGACAATCACGACGATGACTTGGCACTTTTGTCGCCAATGTCCAATCGGCGTGCTCCGTGAACTTTCGGCTCCAATTTTGTGTTTGACGAGTTTAGGGCCCTTGATCACCTTATTATCACGCCGTAGCCAATGCCAAGCGCAAGTTCGTCTGCTTCGTTCACAGGGGTTGCGATGATGTCAGAACGCCGAGCTCTGATTGGCTGATTGAAAAAATAGTGGGTAGACCTTATGGCATCTAACATTGAGGTCTGCCCAATATCCTATCAATGAAAGCCAATCAGAGCCCAGCATCGTTCTGACTAATGCCCCTGAATAAAAAAGGCATAGCGACATCTTCTCCCTCCCCCTCTGACGCGCACACCTTTTATCTTTATGTTTTGCTTTTTTAAACTTCCGCGTCAACCGTAGCGCCGCCTGGATCGGCCCAAGATAGCAGACGGCCTTCCTATACTTGAGTCAGAGCGTAGTCAAAGGCCGAAAGACACGCAAATACATACACACAGGCTAAAAGCGCATTCTCATGGTCTATCAGCCTCGAAGGATGTGCTAAAAAAAAGACGACGCACAGTCGGCGTTATTTGATTGGTGACATAAGCTCATAGCATGCACTGCCCTCCGACAGCCATAAGCATTCCTTCTCCTTCCTCGTCCATCATGCACATGCTTTCTTATGCTTTGCTCTTTCACGCTCGCGCATCGATGGTAGCTCCGCCTGAATCGGCCCAAGACATGACGGCATCCTTCAAAGGATGTCGCTACTTTTCCGCATAAAGGGGCTTTAGTTTTGACGTCATTGCGACTCCTGCTCCAAAAGCAGACGACTTGCTCTCCGTATTAGAACTTGTGGTTGGTCTAGCTGGTAAACGTTCAAAATGATGGTGGAAGGCACAAAAATGAACGGACACAACAGAGAAAGCAGACAGTCTGCTTTCTCTCATGTATCCGTTGTTTCTTGCGCCTTACACTATGATTTCTCCGAGTTAACTTGCTGTATTAGCCGATAAGAAAGCCGAAAACAAATCATGAACCAAGAAGCGTAAAGGCAATGAGCCGCGCCCTGGACTTCTTAAACTGTCTTTGAGTATACAGTGTCAATCCTAGGGCACTGACGTCGCTTCGGCTTCTGCATACATCCACAATGGCAAAGAAGGACGGCGCTTATAGGAAATCTTAGTAGACCATTCCGATTGCTCCGATAACGACACCCGATATCACGATACGTGCGCAAATGCGCCTGTAGAATGTCGCCTATCGTTAGCGGAGTTATTGGAACGATTTACCGAAACTGCCTTATGACGAGCGAGATCACCGGCATGGCGCAAGGACACCGGTTGTGCGAAGCGCCTGGATCAACCGGACGGCCATGGGCGCGAAAATCACTGAACGTGGGATTTCCTGAAAAACGGAAACAAGCGGCTATCCTTCACGACCCGGGATTTTCCTCCAAAGAAACGGTAAGCCAGCCTAATGTCCCTTACGCAACATAAACGCTTCCTATTGTTTTCTCTTTGCTTTAAACACAAATGACGACGTCGTATTTAGCTTTGATTTGTCAGCATTTCATCAAGTATTTTAAGATAATACACCGGGCGTTTCTGCGAATAGTGTCAAATCTCCCTAAAAATGGGGTGTCTCAGAGAAAAAGAAACTCGTTTCGGAAACAAACCGCCTGTCACGGCCGACGTCAGGGATTGCACACACAAAAAAAAGAACATGCTAATTGGTAAAATAATTACCTAAACTTTACTCATTAACTTTCTAGTTAGTGAAAATAAAGGGATGGTTTCAATTAGAAACTTGTTGAACCTCATGCAAATACCCCAAGTCAGTCATTTCTAGACGACTTGAAGCGCGTGCGAAGCGGGGGGGGGGGGGGGGGGGGGGGGGGGGGTGCCAGTGTTACGAAAACGCGGACTATATTCTTATCACTCGCGTTTCTTGCGCCGCCGGCCCTGCGTTTGCTGCAGGGGTGGTAACTTTAGCGTAACCCTGAGCTTCGCATGCGCTTCAAGCCGTGCTAAAATTGACTGACGTAGGGGCTTTCGATTATGATCAGCAAGATTTAAGTGTTCCCGAAAAGAATGGAGCAAATAATTACAGAACAGTTTCAAAATCGTTTGGTTTGTTGCAAATACAGCGTCACAATAGACAGACAGATATGACCTTTAGAAGCGTGAAACAACTGAATTAGCGCTTTTGCATATCAGAGATAAAATAATAACAAATATAGAAAATTTTCTTCTTCCGGGTTTGTTTCTTTATCGATTTCCATAAAGCTTTGAACTCCATAAAACAGTCTACTTTCAAAGCTTAAGGCTTATAGAAAACGAGGAACCGAACACTATCACTAACCACCTTATATCTCGTACACAGCATACGATCTATGATAACGCAAAATCATACCTAAAATTAATGAAATATAGCGTGCCACATGACTTGATTTTGGGACCTTTGCTGTTCTTGATTTATGTTATAGATATGCCTAATGTACCATTTACCGATGACTTAATATTATACGCTGATGATACAAATTCCTTTTTTCTTTCTGGAGCCAATCTTAGCGAACCAATGTTAGCGTACAGGCAACAAATATCTACTCGAGCTTTCACCCTGGTAATTGCAAATGGTTTATCATGAAATTCAAGAAACGATACAAAATATATAATATTTTCCTCGGTGAACCGGGCCCTCGATACAAGTATTGAACAATACAAAAAAAATGAACTTGAACGCGTATACATGATCAAAAAGTTATTAAAGTCTGGTTTAATAAATATAGGAATTGGACTAATCACGTTAACAAAATAAGAAATGAATCTCGAAATGAGTTTGCTTGATTTCCTCTGCTAAATATTTTCTGCCGGAATGGCTCGAGTACCAGCTCTATCATGCATTAATATGTAGCAAAATTGCTTTCTTTTTTCGGGGTCACATGACCGACAAATATCACACATCTAAATATACTGCCCAGAAAATGGCTTTTCGCTTAATAGATAACTCTGAACATCGTGCACACACCTCTCCCCTCTTCAAAAAATATAGAATACTGAAATTCGGTCAACTATACGTTTATAGGCTTGCACGCTTCATTTTTCAGCACCAAAGACATCAAGAGTCAACGTATCCTCCACTCTGCACTATACCCGACCACTATTATAACGCTTGTAATGAAGTATACTTCCAAAAATTAGGACATGGGTAAACAAACACTTGCGTATCAAGTTCCAAGCTTTCTTAACACGTACAGTTATCTCTATACACTCATTACATCTCGCATCTCGCTAAGCGAATACAATATAATATTGAAAGAAACTTTGATGATAGCCACGGACAGCAACTGGAATTGAAAAATTTTGGGTATGCTTTTAGCAGTGCTTGACGCTATTGCTGTGTTTATTCTTACATGCTTGAATTGTTTTATTTGTTGTTGAACCATTCCTAAATGTATGTTATTCTGCTAGTCTCTCCATAGTGTTCATATAAAATGTTGCATTCTTCCATTTACTTAGTGACACTGAGGCCTCGTGAGAACATCCCGTATTTTGTCTTGGTGCCACGGACATGATGTAATGTTCTGAAAGCTGAAATGAGCTGAAATAAGAAAAAAAATGTTTGTCTTCATACATTAAAAAGTTTACAAGAAAAATGTTGGTCACTGTTTAGCTAATTAGTATGTTTTTTTGCTGTCTCTGACGTCTGCCTTAATTGGCAGTGTTTTCCCAAATAGAGTTTCTTTTTTTCTTTTCGTCAAACACCTTATTTATAGAAATGTTTGAAACTATTCGTAAAAACACTGTCTAATCCCGTGATGCGTTTATGACATCAGGGCCTCTAAATTCATCAAACACAAAGTCGAGGCGGAAGTTGACGAAGCGCACCGATTGGTCTATCACAATGGTGACTTCGCGCTTTTTTCCTCAACGTCCAATCGGCGCACTCCGCGAACTTTCGACTCCAACTTTGTGGTTGACGAGTTTAGGGCCCCAGGTGGCATCTAAATAGGGGAAACGAAGAACCTGCAAACATAATCAGAAACGCCATAACAGACCGCCCAATCATATTCGCCGGATACGCCTTTTCAGATAACTTTGAGAGAGAGAGAGAGCTATATTTGCCGCCAACGGAAAGATTAACAAGAGTCTGCAAACGCCGTTTGATCCTCGCCGCCGGTTTCAGATCGCAGAACCGCGCGGAGTGGTACTGACGGACCCAACTTTAGAAGCATCCTCTGCCAGAAGCGTTTTCGAAGATGAAGGTCGAGCAAGCCGGCGCACACAGGAGCGCTTTGGGCGAGGGACCTCACTGGGACTGTCGCAGCTCTACTTTGCTCTACGTCGACGCAACGACAGGCGAGATCATGCGGTTCGATCCTCTGGCCAAGGGAGAGACCGACGTCATCCATCTCGGTAAATACATATATGCCCCCGTCGTTGCGCCCAGGTCTTTTGGACATAGTATGCCGTGTTAACCTGACCAAACTCTGAGCGCCTCAACCAACGTACCAACAAGATTATTACCCAAGAATCTTGCACGCGCAAACAGACAGACACACAGAATCGGGGACACGGTAAACCACTTGTTTTGTCTTTTTTTTTTTTTGCATACGTTTCTTTTTGCGCATAAAAGTATCCTTTGCATCATTCCAGCTAGTTCAACAAGTATTTTTAAACAATCTGCTTGAGCTCTAGGAATTTTTTTTTTTTTGTGCAAGTGGCTAAAAGAATACTCGACCAAAACAAATGGAAGGGGGGGGGGGGGGGGGTATAACATCTCAAACCAACGACTAGCATGTGGCAGCACCCAGCGAAGGTCGGAGGGTTAATTTCGATTACGCTTGGGATCCCTTCACGTGCAGATCTCGGTTAAGGGGTGTCCAAACAGGAAACTTCAAAACGCACAACTCCGACAAATCGTAAAAAATTGAAGCGGGCGCGTCCGCTTCAATTTTCACGATTTGTAGGAGTCGTGCGTGTTGTAGTGTCCTGTTTGGACACCCCATTACACGGCGCCATTCCCGCAATAGGCCTCCGTCACTTGAGGGCACCTACATGCAGGGATTGAAACCGACCAACTGGAGATCCGTAGGCAGGCGCTTTACCTCGATGAGGCGGGCTTAAAACTTATCCTTAGCCTAGCTCTCTTTTTACTAACTGAGGTCACGCCGAATGTATCGCTATAAGTTGTGCCGACAGAGGAGTTAACATTGTGTCTATGTGTGTTGTACGCGACCAACAGGAAGGGTGTTCGAAGAAGTAAATGGGCCTAGGAAACTCCGACAATTACTAGGTAGTGTGCGATATTCGGCACTCACACTTCCGTCAGTCATTGGCTTCCTTTTTTATAAAATGTAACTGCCTCAGATATTCGGTACACGCTAGTGGAGGAGACGCATGTAGGGGGTTTATTGATTGTCGAACTGTGTTAAGAATGTAAGGGACTTGGGTGAGGTGTATACTCGCACCATAGCCTCGTGTGTGCTTTCGGGAGGGTGGGACTTAAACGCAGCCTAGGTGTCTGTTGGGGTGGTGTTAGAGGGGTGTATAAATCACTGCAAGCAAGTCATCACCGAACACCAAATGCAAAACGCACATTCATGAAGAGGTCTTTACTCTGCAGATGGCGAGATAGGCAACCTGATTCCTTACACCGAAGACAACCGCAAGCTAATGGTGTGCATGAACAATGGAGTCTACAAGCTTGATCTCGACACCGGGGCTCAAACTCTCCTTGCCGAGATGTTCGGTCCAGATCCTCCCGTGCGGTCTAGGATCAACGACGGCAAGTGTGATGCCATGGGACGTCTCTGGGCAGGTATGGAATAGATAACTGTATATTAGCTGACAAGGTGAGGACGGCAGGCAGAAGCTTCCGATTGTCGAACCTCCAGCCCGAGCTTTCTACCTTAGACACCGGGACCCCGTCTTATGCTCCTCGTGGACGCAGCGAAAGCACGACGGAAGGCGTGTTGGAAGACAGGCGTTCGGAACAAACGCCCTGCCATTTGTTTCGAACAATAGATATTGCATACAGGGTGAGAGCGAGAAAATGAAGCCGGGGCTTTCGACCTGCACAATTGAATTAGGCATCGCAGAACTTCTGAAACACCGTGATAAAGTGTGGTGGTGATAAAATGCGCAAGTTTGAGCTCGTGACATTACCTAGATCAAGAAATACAAAAGAAAAACAAATATTTTCTATGAGCCGATGTTGAAATTGTAATTTGAGATTGTGGGCGCGTGTAGCATTATGTCAGCGAAAAAACTTGTCAGCAAGAAAGAAAACCATACTGTCTTTCTAACTGACTTTTTTTTTGTTTTTTTTTAACTGAAATTAATATTACAGGCGCCCACAATCTCAAATATTGGTATGATGCGAATTGGGCTTAGGTAAACGTGGGCTCATAGATATTATGTGGTTTTTATTTCTCTCTTCTGATCCAGTTGACGTCATCTGATCAAATTTTCGCATTTTATCACCACCACCTATCGTAACTTTCTAACTTTTTTTCAGCTCTCTGCAATGCGTGGTTTATTGAAGTGGGCCGAAACAACGGGTTTCATTTTCTCGATCACACCCTGTATATTCTATTCTCTTGAAGCAGAACTGCGACGCCTTCTTTCGCGGTCGAACTTTTTTTTAACATATTCGGATCTGACATTTCAGACAGTTCGACTCATGACATAACGCTTTAGCCATAATACAGAGTAAAAAAAATGCCACATCAGTAATGGCGCAGTACATGCATACAAATCACACTAACAAAGAGGCCATAATACGGTGCTGGATTACGCGATTGACAGGATCATTGCATAGTTGCAATGATCATGGTGAGAATAGTTCAATGCAGCTAATGAATTGGGCACGAGCAGTGCATGATCATATTGACTTTATCTCGGTTGCAAAGAATGTCTTAGCGGACACTTACGTTGCGGCTTGAGCTTAATGGCTGCTGTGGCAGGAATAATAAAAATGTCACGATGTCTGGATGGAACACAGTAGGCGCCCTGTGCAAAGACAATCCCTGCGCGTGGCAGTCATAAAAGTTGGTGGCATATATTAGGATTACGTGGCCGTTTACTCCTATGGCAAGTCGAGGGGTAAACGGTTCTCTTGTGTACTTAATTTTGTTTGCACCTTCTAGTGCGTAAAAACAAACACCCAGTGGCTGTTTGTAGGATACGCACAACCAGTATTAGTTTTTGGAGGTATTTAGAAAAAAATTAAGCTAGATACATCTTCTGTTCCCTGAAAAGTAGTGTCAAATCTGGTTGAACCTATAATAATAATAAAAAAAACACTGTAGATAATAAAGTAGATAACAAGCATGCTTTTATAGCATTTTAGAATATCAAAATGGGCAAGTGGGCAAGGAGAGCCTTTTACAATAACAAACTGGGCAAGTGGGCTAGGCAATATGCCGGCCCGACCCTCCTGCTTTGGGACATGTCCAGGATGCATGAACGAGTGCAATAAAAGCATTTAACGTGCATATCCATGCGCTCTTGAGATTGTGAGTTTCGAACAGCTTACGCATATTTTGGTGTGCAGTTTACAGCACGCAAAGCGCCTGAAAAATATCCCTCTTATCATCACTATTAGGGACGTTGACAAGGGACGTGGACCTAAAAAACTATGTTCCTGAAGAAAACAACTTTTACTGCTTTTCCAAGGGAAAGCTAACCCTGAAAGTGCCTCACATTTCTCTGTCCAATGGCATCGCTTGGACGACAGACAACCGAACTATGTTCTACAACGATTCTATTCCGGGGAAGACATATGTCTTCAACTTCGACCTCGACACCGGAGATATAGGTGAGAGAACCCTGTTGTGAGCGAACCAAACGACGAAATAATCACAATTTTGTTGTTCGCGTGGTCTGTATGCAGTTCAGACCAGTACACTGTGCCACCGATATGTTTTCTGGCGCACACTGCTGTCGACATTTAGATAATATATTCCGATGCTTTGAGCTTATGCTCAAAGCATCGAAATGTCCAGCTCAAAACAGCTGAAGCATTTGAACTTTCTCTTCTTTCTTTCAGCCTCCATTCTTGCACAATCCTTCGGTCCTCTTTACCAGCTGTACTTACTTTCTGCCCTTTTCCGTTCTTCAGTGGCCGCAAAACTGTTGGATAGGATTGTACATGAAGATACTGATAATGTGACGCTGATGACACTAACCTAATATCGAAAAGTAATATTTGCGAAAATAATGACAGCTATTAACGCGCAAAGATCGATTCGCAGGTAACCGTCACGTCTTCATCGATTTCAAGATCACGCCTGGGTATGAAAACCTGGGGTTGCCCGACGGCATGACCACGGACGTAAACGACAAGATCTGGATGGCATGTTTTGGTTCTGGCTCCATCATTCAAGTCGATCCGGAAACGGGTAATTCAAGATTGAGGCTTGTGGCAACGTTCTGTACCTTCAGCTTAAGAATCTCGGGTTTATGTTTTGAGAACAAAATAATTTCGTAGACACATACTTGATGAAGTAGATTAGGAAAATTTTACGTTCGCACAGCTCCTCTCACAAGCGAACAGACTAGTTCCTGCTACAACTATGGCGTATCGCTTGGTGCTCACCCGGTTTTCAAATATTGACATCATGCCCTTGACTGCCGGTGCAGTTCTATTGAGATGTGCCTCAAGTTGTTAAAAATGTTTGGCATCACGAAACAACTTTGCACAGAGCATCTTTGAATATGTCTTGTTCTCCTCAATATCACCAAGACGATTGAGGCCTAGGGTCGTTTTTTTTTTTTTTTTTTTTTTTGGAAAGAAAGTTGCAGCAGAAAATTCTGGATGGTATTCTAGTAGGATATACTCTCAATAGGTTCCTCTGGTTACATTTAGGTTGAATTCATGAAACTGTAGGTTGAACCATGCTAATTATGCTAACTAATCCGCTTTATGAAGTGCATATAAAGGAGCCAGATCCCGTGTTTTTAAGAATCACGATTAAAATAATCGATAGTTGAATAAACAGTTAAACTTTTGAGCCTACCATTTTTTAGAAATGTTGCGCTCACTGTACAGCTCTCCAATAATGCATATTAAAAAAAAGCGTTTAATTGTTTCTTGCGAAAACCAAGCAAGTTTCGTAAGGATTTTTATCGAGTGATATCAGGAAGCTTGTGCTAATGAATTACTACTCGTTTTTGCTTTTGCAGCTAAAATCCTGAACACGATCAAATTTCCTACGAAGTTCACCACTTCGTGTTGTTTCGGCGGCAAGAATTACGACGTTCTTTACGTTACTTCCGCCAGCAGCTTGTCAGACTCCCCGCAACCTGCCGACGGATTGCTGTACCAAGTTACCGAGCTCGGTACGAGGGGCAAAGCGGCCTTTGAGTTCGCCGGCTAAGACTGCTAGAGTCGCCTGGGTAAGCTCGTCGCTATATAAAAGAAAGCGCCTACACCACAGATGAAATAATGTAGTAATAAAAACGCTTACAATGACACAGAGTCCGCGTCATTTGTCCATGCTTTTATTTCTGTCTTCCAGCAGTGAAAGAAACGCAAAGCGTTTTGTTTATTGTTTAAATTTAACATCAGTAATCGTCTTACTACCTCTTCTTTTCATTAAACGAACTCTCCACCGTGGTTCCTACCTTTGTTGCACACAGGCAAGAACTGGAATGGGCCGACTGGAAAGCCAATTCACACTTTCCTTCAAGAATATTCTTTGATCTCGAAACTCCTTGAATGGGCGATCGGAGCCTTTTGGCGAACTTGTCGAGAGCAGACATGTTGAATTGAAAGTTAGGCAACAAGCAAGGTGGCCGAGCGTATTAGCGCACCGCAGTTCGAACCACGTGCAGCAAAAGCTCGTGCCGCAAAATCCAGAGATCTGCGTAAAACCCCACCCCTGCCCGTTTCGATCTGGATGAGCATCTTACCGACGTGCGGTTGTTTATTATTATTGCGTGATATACCTGAATGACAACTGACTAGGAGTCGTATTACATGGGCTAAATTTCTTGAATAACGTAAACAGTGTCGCCAGAACTCCAAGTCAGACCGACCTTACACTGTCTACGCACGAACGTAATTTTTTTAAAGACTCATCTTGTCTACACGTACCAAACTCTTTCGTAGCGGAACCAACTGCTAAAGGTATAAGGTCGGCCTTTTAGTCTTCGTTGCAGTGCATCTTAAGGGAAACTGGAACGTTCACAACTTTCACCATATATGGCGAGCGCCCTAGTTCCTATCAAAAGGGTTGTCATCTAGACGATTGTCGTAAAACAGCGTTACGAAGTTGGGGTCTGCGATCCGTAAGTAATTCTAATTTTGTTAAGTGCGAGGGATATAAGAGTCGTACCTGATACTTCCACGTCAAAAAAAGATAAACAAGCTCCTTTATTTGGAATCCGATCATCCAGCAGCTGGGGTGTACGATTCTCACACCACGGTACCACAATATCTGAAAGTTGCAAAGCAAATTGTTGTGTGTAGGTTTATACATCAGGAAGTTAATCTGCCTTTGTGGGCGTCTGGTTTCTCAGCTGTAGGTGATAAATTTAGCCAGTGGAGTACAAACCGCTAGCCTGGGGTATTTAACGTGCAGCTCGCAGTAGTGATATACACGACCGTACGCCGGTACGATGCTCATCCATATCGAAACCGGCAGGGGTGGGGATTGAACCCAGGATCCCTGGGTTCTGCAGTGCGAGCTTTCGCTCCATGTGCTCCGAGCACGTGGAGCGTGGAGTTACGAATAGTAGCTTCTTTAGTAGCTATTCATGGGCGCAGCTACTCAAATTTCGTTCGATTCACACCATTGATGTGGTCAAGCGATATGCTATTGACCTTCTGGACTCCACAACGTTCGTTGTTCCCTATAGGCAGACTGTGTGGCTGGGTATAATGCTGACGCCCGTGTCCCACTAGAGCGACATACAGAAACAAAAGACAGCGACAAGCCTCAAACCAGAGTCTTTCGTCATTTGAGAGGCTTCGAAGAATAAAGGAGGCTATGCTCAAACACGAGCATCATTCACGCGGGGGTATCTTTGGCAGGCTTGCAATCGCTCGTGCTTGCTTCACGAGCACCGAACGACAAAACGCCTGCTAAAGGTACCATCGCGAGCATGCTGCATGGGTTTGAGGCTTGTCGCTGTCTTTTGTCTCTGTCTGTCGCTCTAGTGGGACACGGGCATGAGGCAACAGAAGTTCAGTTATGGCAATTAACGCAGTTACGGTGGCTAGAAGGGGAAGTGTAAGCATTGGCGCGCGAGAAAAAGAGCAGCCGGTCAGGGTGCAGTGGTGGCGCTGCTGTCGACACTGAGATGCGTCGTCCGCTTGCGTCCGAAGCCATGGGGCGCTTTCTCGCTCCGCGAGTAAGAATCGCGTACGATGTGCGCGCCTTTAAATACTTTCTAAACGTTAAACTATATTGATTTTGGGCATATGGCCGATGTAACACAAGAATAAACCTGCCGATGCTTTTGTCGTCGTCGCCGTCTTCGCAAACGGCGAAGGGGGAGGCTTTCTTCTCTTTCCTTCTCGCAGAAACGTACCCCGTGCTGCATGCGGGTGCCGTTTCGCCATCGCGGTAGCCTGAACGCATGGGGCAATCTCTTCGGGAAGAGCAACACGAACGAGCACTTCTATAGAGACGCGAACGAGCCTTTACGGGAGGAGGTCTGCAGCTGGCAGGTAAGATTCGATTCGCCACCTATCGTCGTCATGATACACTAGCGCGCTGCCACACAGAGCAAGCTACGCGATGCTGGTACCTCCCCTTTCTAGCCACCATAACGCGGTAGGCATGTCTATACATCATGCCGATTAATGTCTTTTCCGCGCTGCCATCTTTGTCCAATGGGCTGTGGAACGCATTCTTAGCATGCGCAGTTGCTCCCTTTTGCGGAATTGTAGACATCGTGCTCAATCCAGCGGCTTGACATTGTGTGTTTGTGTGTTTGGAAGTGTAATAGGCGCTGGAAAAGATTGTAGTTTACCTACAAACTACATACTTGCAAGTCACGAATGTTTGTATACTAACACATGCAGTGGCACTACACCTGCTCGCGATGTATAGTAACAACAACGCAAGTCTGCTTGTTTTGCTGGTCTCTTCGTGTGTAGATTCATTTAATCTTGACCCGGGACGAAGATGTTTACAATGGAAACAACAAAGAACAGACAGGCCAGCTGGAGAATTTCCACCATCGTGAATAGCCGAAAGCGAAAAACTAAGAAAGATTCGCACCTTTAAGATAACCCGAATTCCCGCAGATTTGTGGCAGCTGCGACGTCTTGACGATAAACTCTAGAAAGGTGGAGAAAAACACTAAGCTAAAATCCTGAAAGCCTGATTACAAACTACTCGAGCTCATTGACAAGCGAGGCTTTGAGGATAACTTTATGTGATAGGCACGTGTGAAAGTTCCCGCCAAAGGCCGAAAGATTATCGGAGAGTCTGCAAACAACATATCTATAGACGTTTTCTCTATCCCGTCATTCTTTGTCACGTGGCTTCCGTATCTGGTATCTGGGACGAAAAAATAAAAACATTTCAACTTGGAATAGGCGAGAAAATATAGGTGAGGCGAAACGAGAATGTGTAACAATCACGCATTTTTCATTAACACCTCTCAGCAGCGTGGAGATATGGAAACGGTGTTTTACCCCATGTCTGAAGTGACATTCAAGTTGGCTGCGTGGAAAACGTGCAGAGCCGTTCGCCGCCGTCTTCTCAGAGTGTACCCGCGGTGCTGACGGACGCTTCTTTAGAAGCGCCGTCTGCAAAAAACACTTCGGTGCACATTATTCTTTTGTACGTTACTAAAAATATAATGAATTTCAATTAGAATTACTTTCGCTTCAAGAGTATTCAATCAGATTGCTCAACTACTTGACACAAAAAGTAATTGACCGTCACTTAAAAAAAAGTAACCTTTACTTCTCCGATTACGTGAACATTTCAGATGGATCGGTTTTTATGACGGTTTGAAAAATGGTCTTTTGCACTGTTCAATATCGATAGAATCACTGAATTACAAAGAACTCATATACATAATACACCAATTTTGATATATCATCCTTTTTGTCGGAAATTAGTTCAAAGTTCAGTGGTTGAAAACTTGTAGAAACAAACGGTGCCGTTAGGAAAGGGAGGGGAAGGAGTAAGGGCTACAAGTCATTTTAGTACTTCCAAAGGTAATCGGATTACCCTTGTCATTACGTCCTCAAAAAAGTAATAAATGATTACAAAATTACTCCGATAAGTAATCAATTACGAGTAATTTGATTAGCTGCAATGAGTGCTACACAAGTCTGTGTATGCTTTATATGTGCCAGTCTACAGGAGCTGCCGAGGATGAAGGTGGAGCGAGCCGGCGAACGCAGAAACGTCCTGGGCGAGGGACCTCACTGGGACCACCGGAGCTCAACCCTGCTCTACGATGACGCGCAGAACGGAGAAATTGTGCGGTTCGATCCTCAGGCCGGGAAAGAGACTGAAATCATCAGTCTCGGTAAATATACTTCAAACACCGTCTTACTTTGCTTCCCTTCCTTCCTCTGGTCATCAGCAGCCTAAAGGCCGACAACCAGATTCGAGATTCTGCAAGGCAGAAGATCCTCCTCACAATGGGGGAGGAGGAAACAGGCAACGGTGGACAGGGTAGAAGGGGGAGGTGAGGAAGCGAGGGAAAAGTGGAAAGTGCGAACTGGTCATCGCGGGACGTGATTTTTGCTTACTGATTCTTCTTAAGTTGTCGGTGACTATAGACCGACACGTTGTTTACAAACAAGTCCTCATTTGCCCACACCAAATTCGCGTGAAGTGAAGCGCCTGCGCATGCGCAGTGCCGTCGACAGCGCCACCGCAGCTGCGTGACGTCACGGCCGCGTGTTGGTCTATAGTGAAATTTCGAGCACATTTAATTTTGAACAGTATTGTACAGGCTGACAATACCAGAGGCGGCACTATGAACCAGTACGTAACTGTGTAGTGTTCCCGGAATGTTCTTAAAGTTGCCAGATTGTCTATCGGAAGAAAAGGAGGATCGGTGACCGAGTGTGTTGAAACCCCTCGCCTACTCATATTTTTCTGCGAGGAACGTACAGCAAATTTTTGCTTTAAACGATCAGTTCGCATTAAAATAAAAAAGCTTACCTTCTCGACTTCCAAGTGCCCTATCTTGCCCTAAATCAGAACTTCTGCTGGTCTGAGTCCCGCCGACGTGCAAATGCCGAAGTTGATGGAATGCTTGCAGGATTCACATCGATTTCATCACTCCTGTCACTGCCCATCAAACTGTCGTCTGATTCCTAGATTTCGGAAAGGTCGAAGGATTAGTCGGCACATATGCCTGAGCATTCATCTCATTCAAAGGCAAGGTTTTGTTTGTTTGTCGGCTCAAGTGGACCTCCGCGCCAAAGCCATGTTGTTTTAGCGTGAACGCTCGCAAGCGACTGCTTTGTTTTTTCTTGGATAAATGGAGCGTTTTTTCTCTATAAAATTTTAATACAAACGAGCGAACTTACCAATGTAAAAGCATCTGCCAGGGAGTGCGCTAAAAAAGCGCTGAAGCCAAAATACGAGTCGCACTCGTGGTCGGGCTTTATGGTCCATAAGGGGTACTCACACGAGGGAGAAGTCCCGAGGATTTCTCCCAATGTGGCTGGCTAACTTCCGGCTGTCTAAACATACACACTAAACAATTACATTCTTACCAGAAAAAACGCGTACCACACTTTTAAGTTCACACGCTCTTCTCCTATCAGTCCATGCCTAATTCTCAATAGCTAAAACTTCTCCCTGAACATATCATATCGCAGAAGGTGAAACTAGTTACATGCGATGCCTACAGATGGCGAGATCGGTAACCTGATCCCTTACGTCGAAGACAACCGCAAGCTAATGGTGTGCATGGAAAGTGCCATCTACAAACTTGACCTCGACACCAGGGATCAGACCCTTCTTGAGGAGATGCTGGACCCGGATTGTCCGGTACGAACCAGAATCAACGACGGCAAGTGCGACGCCAAGGGACGTCTCTGGGCCGGTGAGTATTCAGAGAAGAGAGAGAGGCGTTAAACTGACGTCCCCCTAGCTTAGGTTTACTAAAAGGCACTTTTTCTTGATAAACTCAACGGGAGTTTATAATAGAGACTACGTTGTGGATAGACCTCTTTTTTAAATATAAATTGCAGTGCAATAAAAGTTAAAATTAGTTTTCAGATTAGACATAAAACATGACTGTTTATAATCATAAAAAACAAAAACTCAGACTGTATCTAAATATAAGATATATTCAGTGGAAGATGCTATGAATCGTTTCTTTTTTTGCTTTGAAATAGGCCCAGGTGAACGAATTATCAAACACAGCGAAATCTGTTCTATTACAGTTAATGCTCACCAGAATAAACATTTCAAAGGTTACACGTAATTCGTTTCACCAAATTGCGTCGAACACAAAATAAATTTGTCTAATTTGTGATTTTTCTCCAGGCACCATGCCAAGAGAAGTGGACATAGAGAATTCCGTTCGAGGAAAGAACAACTTCTACTGCTTCTCCAAGGGCAAGGTGACCTTGAAGATGCCGCAGATCTCTTTGTCCAACGGCATAACGTGGACATCGGACAACCGGACCATGTTCTACAACGACTCAATTCCGGGAAAAACATACGTCTTCAACTTCGATGTTGACACCGGAGACATAAGTGGGTCCCTTTTCCGCCACAACCAATCCTCGAATAGTCAGAAGTGCCATGTTGTTTAAATGAAGAAACCATTCCCTCTAAGAAACCTGGAGCGTCTACTTTCCTGCAAAGCACTTGCGAGAGCCAATCGCTGCGAAAATCAGCAGATGCAGCTCGGCCAATGACAAGGCTAAACATATGTTTAGAAAAAAAAGAACACATATAGTTTTCGCTGTGTCACTAAACACTTGAATCGTATCACTCAGTGGAACAGTGCACACTGGGTCCTTAAGGCCTAAACATATGTTTGTAGATTGCAGCGATTAAGCGATTGACCCTTACAGGTGCTCTGATAGAAAGTAGACATGCAAGATTTCTTGGAGTGTTGTATGCATCAATTGATGAATGATAACGGCTGTGCCGTTTATAGTTAGTTGGCTTGCGCCACCTGGCCTTGAAACCAAAATACAGAAACCACGATTCCTTTCCTCGCCGTTCTAAGTCAATTTTCTTCCCCTCTATTTTTGTAACTATCACCAGGCACGTTAGGAATATCCCCAGGATGTCCTTTGGGGGATCGATAAAGAAACTAAATGCATCACCCTTCCCCTCCTGCCCATGCGAGTGGCTTATTGTACTTTTGACAACTGTCCCTGGATATTTACAGCACATTGTTGACGAGATGTTTGAGAGCTATGGTGATGTTACAGCAAGCATTAATGACGTTTCTATCAGTTTCAAATCATTTATACGTAAATGCGTGTACCAGCTCACCTAAACACAATATCTAAAGCCTTTTTTTTTTTTAATTTCACTCGTAGGAGGAATTCGAGAGATTTCTTTCATTCAGGGAAACATTGCCCGTGCTCACACAATTCTCCAAATCCACGAGGCAATTGCCAGCTTTTGTTGGAGTGTATAAGGGACTATCCCCCCACTGTCCTCATTGGCTACCATCAGATTTTCTCCTCTTTGGTCGAGGGATGTACTGCGCTGAACAAGGTCTGAATTTTGTGGAGGGCACGGCAATGTGAGCAGAAAGCGAACTGAAACCGAGAAGGCATTCAAGTCCTCGATTCACACTAACGTAAAGCCGTAAAACTGAGCTGAGATTATGTGAAGAATTGTTCGTAAGCAGAAAAGGTGCAGCGATATTTGGTGTCAATATAATCTATTATATAAATAGGATTTTCGTGGAAAATAAATGTGGGGCATTACTTCGTGAGAAACCTTTGTATAGTTCTTGCCAGCGTGGTGTTGCGGGTTGACATGTCCTGGCATTGAGAAGATTCGTCATTGGTAAGAAAAATAAAATAACAGTTAAGCAAGCTTTTCTTTGCAGGCAACCGTCGGGTCTTCATCGATTTCACCACCACGCCTGGGTACGAGAACCTCGGACTTCCGGACGGCATGACTATAGACGTCAATGACAAGATTTGGATGGCCTGCTTCGGCGTTGGCTCGGTCATCCAGATTGATCCGGAAACGGGTACGCTTCATTGCATCCACACATACGACGGCTAAACCTTCGTACACACTAGACATCCCGTGTCTTTAACTCCTATTCTCAGTGTCAGCTTGAAAGGCACAGTTTCTTGCGACCGAGTGCGTTAACTTGTTTGCTCTTGCGAAGAGAAAACACGCTGACGTCATTTAATGGGTATCCGTGGAACACTTGGGATTTCCGAATATTTTACTTTCCTCACTGGTCAGTCTTTTTTTTTTTTTTTTTGATTAGCTTAAGGAACTTTTGGCAATGTTATGAACGACTAATCCTCATAGGCAGTACGTAAAACTTTGCTTACAGCAAAACTTTTTGCGCTAGTGATATGCCTCACAGATGACGTCAACGTGCCAGTTTGTTATCTCGTCGTAAGAGATTACGAAGACTCGGTTATAAGCAAACGCAAGTGTATAAATCGGCCGGAAAACGTAGTGTCTGGCGAGCTCCTGGCATTTTATTACAGCTGCGCAGTCAATGCCATTGGGGCATCAGCTCATAAAGGTACCGAAGAACGAATCAAGAAGTATGACCAGAATAGGCCACACCCTGGATTTCTTAAGCTGTCACAAACTATAATGAACGACAGCTTAAAAATAACAGTGCTACTAACCGCTCGTCAATTATATCTGTACCCATCACTTCCTTAACTTAGGGACGACCCTCAAATTTCCTGTAACGGCTAATTGTACAGACGCTTAAGACTCTTGAAGGTCACGTGACACTAACATGGTACTGGATTGGCTTGATGGCTCCTAACGTCTTTAGGATTCATCGTTAGGTAAAACTGGGAATAGCTGGACGTGCGTTCCATTCCCAGAAGACTTCGTTGTGCGTTATAAGTAAATATAACACCCAACGAGGGGAAAATGGCAACAGATGAGACGCGGAAAAGGCAAGAAAGAAAGGGAATTGCTCCACGGAGCTACCAGCACTTCCTCTTCCGTCCACCGACCATAATTCGATCTTTCGTTACTGTTGGAGAAGAGCGCACGCACGCACAAAGCTGTTCTTGAAAAGGGTTTATGACACTTTTTCGAAATATTTAATGATATTATTACTTCCGATCTATGTTTCATTTTGAAGGAACTCAACAGTTGTTTGTGGGCGCCAAACAAAATAGACATTTTGTTTGATTGACCGATAATGTGAGGCTATTGTGTTCTAATAAACAAACTTTTTTTTGCTATTGCAGCTAAAATCCTGAACACAGTCAAAGTTCCGGCCAAGTATACCACTTCATGTTGCTTCGGCGGCCAGAATTACGACGTTCTTTACGTCACTTCAGCCAGCTTCATGAAGGACGCCACGCAGCCTGGTGACGGATTGCTGTACCAGGTCACCGAACTTGGTGTAAAAGGGAAGGCGGCTTTTGAATTCGCCGGCTGAGACCCGGCCGTGCGCGCTGTAAAAGTTGTCTAATAAAGTTCCATGGCATAACATATGTAGCCTTTTGTAGAGTAAATTGAACGTGATATTTATTTAAAATAAGAAACATAGATTGCAACAAAATCTGTACGTCACCTGTTCTCCTTTCTCTTTTCTTCCAGCAATGTTATTGAAAACAAATAGCCTATGCGTTAAACTGCACTTAACTTAAAAGATCGTTTTACTGCAGTTTTAAATACGTTGACGCACAGGTGCAGTTTTTATTTAGTGTGCAGCACGAACCTGAAATGCAACAAACAGAAAGTTCTCTTTGTCGAGAAATGTGCCCCGAGGATATTTCTACGCCGAAACCACAAGCGTTTGGTGGCCGAACCTTTTTGACGAACTTCTTGGCAACGGCTGCGGTGCAGCGATGGCTTTCAAAATATACTTTTAGTTTACCATCGAGATGCACACTCGTTAGCAGGATGGTTTGTATATTATATTGAACACTGTATAATAGCAACAACGCAAGTCTGATTGGCTGTTGCCGGTAACCGCGGTTTTCGGGACTTTTAGTTTTACTTGGATAAGTCATGTTTCTTAATCCATCCTTGTGTATAAGATGGGCGAAAAAGTTGCTCACAAACACGCGCATCCGAACCACTCGTACCCACCACATTTTGCATCAACGGGAGAACAGTGCTTCACGCCGCGGTTGGAGAGTTGAAAGCTGTTTAGTCTAGAAAGCGTGTTGCAACTGGAAAAGTTTTATCGGACTTCGATTAACAAAATTTCAAACGATGTTTTTTTTTTGTAAACTTAGCTTCTAGTAACCAGTGATTCTACCACATCCTGCAAGCATTGTCATACGGTAATCAAGACGGTGTTTCACGAGTTTCAAGCGCAACACCGAAATTCCGAGTTTTTTTTGTTTTTTTTTTTTCGACTTCTACCTCTTCAGATTTCCTCCTCAGCTCAAAATCAAATTGATAATTCATTGGGGTCGTGACGTTTAGTATTTCACCAAATGCGATGAATCCAGGCTTCCTCCATGTTTTTTTAAGCACACCATGAAACTTGCCATTCGGAAGTGATGATTACTGCCGTCACGGCACTCATCGGCCACGACCGCGAATCTGAATATTCTTCGACGGATTTATTGTTGACGAGCGCATACACCCGAGTGACGCCGTGCTTGTGTCCAATGTGTGAGCTGACGTGCTTTGTGTAGTGCTGATGTATCACAGTGAAAAGGCTGAGATCTGTCGAAAAAAAAAAAGGAAGCACAAAAAAGAGTCCGCTATATTTTCACATTTTCGTACAGAAAAGTATGGCTTTCGACTTTCTACCCTCTTTATTTTGGCCCATTAGACAATATGCGATTTCGTAGACTGCCGATATATAATTATTTATCCCGGGAAAAATGAATTTCGCGATTCCTTTAATCCTCTTGAAAGACGCTCAGTTTCGCTTATCTTTACCGTACAAAATTCATAGATGCGTTAACCGATTGGATAGTGGGGAGCTTGTACTGCTGAGTAACTACACTTCTCCTTTCGCAGCTATATTTCTGAACACAATTCAATTTCCTACCATGTTCAATACTTACCGTTGCATAGACGGCAAGAATTATTACTTTATTGACGTCACGTCCGCCTGCGTCTTGTCGAATGCCCTGCTACATGCCGACCGAGTGTTGAACCAGGTCACTGAGCTTGGTGCAAAGAGAGAGGTGGCTTTTGAGCTCGCCGAATGAGACAGTTGAACTTGCTTGAATAGAATTCCTCGCTCCACAAAAAAGCGCTGATTTAAAAAAAAAGAATATTAAAGTAATTAGAAAGCTTATTACGCATTAACTATCACGTCCTCTTCCTTCTTTTCGTTAGCGTCTTTCAGCAGTAAAGCAAACGCAAAGCTTTTCCTTCATTGTGCATTTTTAACTTGAGTAATGGTCTTTACTGTCTCCTCTTAGTGCACGGACTGTCAACTGTTGTTCTTGCATTTGGTGCGCACCAACCAGAACGATCTGAACGCCGGGAAAAAGGAAAATGCCGGTCAAGAAGTATCCCCGGACGGCAAGAGCCTGGATTTAGAGTCCGAAACCATACAAATACATGCGAAGTAACACACAAGCATACTTTTAGACATACTCAAAGACGACTTCCCCAAACACGAACAAATTATGGCACACGAACAAAAGAATACCACGTCAAAGACCATGTTCATTTTAATACCTACGTTTAGCAAAAAAAAAAAAAAGAGCTTCGGTCATTTATGGCGGGCAGTGGTAACACACCATAAATCAAAGTCAAATTGGACGTTTTAGGAATTTATACAGCGTAAGGTTGGTCTGCCAGTAGGGGCGACACTGGTTTACACTGTAGAAGAGCAATTTTGCCAGTGCAGTACGACTGCTAACCTGGGGTCTTCAACGTGCTCACGCAGTAGTGATACACGACCGCACGCCGGTACGCCGGAACGGGCAGGGGTGGGTCTCGAACCCAGGATCCCTGGGTTCTGCAGCGCGAGCTTTCGCTCCACGCGCGTCGAGCTGGGTGTGCGCCACTCGGCCACCGATTCCCCAGTAACACACCATAACTTTTTTTTGCATAGAAATAAATTTTCCTTGCGTTTTTCTTATTTGTGAAAGTATAATCGATCTTGTAAGTGTATAATCGATCTTGGAAGATTGCTATGCATGACCTTGTCTGTAAGATTGTATGCAGTCTGTAAGTGCTACATTGGGGACAGGGACCTTTCTCAAGCCTTACGCCTTCAGTCTCTGTCTCCTTTTCGATGGTACAAAAAAAATACTAATTTAGAAAAAAATCTGTGACGAATTTGTGGAGAGCAAACTGCTAAGACTACAAGATCAGGCTTTGAGTCCTTGTTGCGGGAGATCTCAAGGGTTAATGAAGAATATGGAAGTTTTTTTAGCGGTAAGCATGTTTGGGCGCTGCCATAACTGACATTAAGTTTCTTTCTTTTCCTTTAAACATTTTGCTGCAGTTGCGCGACATGGTGGGGACACCTTTTACACACCGCAGTGTGCTTGTCCCTGATGCAGGCAATGTGCGATTTTGATATTGGACATTTCAGTGGCTAGGCGCTACAGAGGGCCAGTTATATTGGCAGCTCAAATCAGGAACTATGCAACAAAATGCGACTCTCACGTCATACCACAGTGGGGGCGCTCCTGTCAGCATGGCACGGCGCAGACGCTTTACTTGACGCGATTATGGATTCTACGCATGCGCAGAGCCCACACCTGGTGTGGGCGAGCGCTGGCTTGTTCGTAAAGGGCGTGTTAGTTTATAGAACCTTTCAAGAAAAGGTCTCTGGTCGCCGCCATTTTGCGACTAGAGCGACCCCTATCAGCAAGATATTTCTGCCAGCTGCCCGAGCTGGGGAAACCCGTTCAGCGCGACTCCCCACCTGCATTGTGCATTCGGAGTTCACCGGATTTTCTTGAAAGTTTTTACTTTATTTGCGTGTTCAGGATGCTCACCCTTTTTCTGTTAAATTCCACTGTGAGAACTAGTGAATACCGAAGCTCGTGGCCTGCTCGGCCTTCGCAGGAAACGAATGAAGAGAGCGATCGTCAAGTAGCTCGCGACACGGGTCGCTCGACATACTTCGAGGAGTATTTCCGTTGAGATAATCTCCGAAAAGCATTCCAGGTTATGTTCCCGGTCTTAGCGAAAAATATCTGATAGGGTCAGGTCCGGGGTGTGGGGACAGAATTGACACGTTCGTTCATTTGCTTTGGTGCTGTGCAAAAAAAAGCAGCTTTCTTCAAAACGTGCCCCAAAACAAGTGGGGTTGCGTCGACACTGTATATTAGATATGCTGTGTTTCTTGACACCTTTCTGATATCCTATTCGCACAGCGCGGCACGGTGGGGTACGTATTGTTCGATCGATGAGACTCGTTGAATGTCATGTTGTGAGCGGGGAATACCCTTGCAGTCTGGCCATTCTGTCTGGTCAAAAAGTTTCGACAGTTAAAACCTTTGTAGATTGAAAAAGCTGGGTATATGGCGTAGTAAAAAGCAACATAAAATGAAACAAACATTACAATTACATTTATTCTGTAGCGCACAGACTCACAAAAATAGCTTTCATTTTTTGCAGCGGAGCTGTTAAGGGCATGTTTCCCCGGGATGGTGTGCCCCGCAAAGAAATGAAGACACCGAACTCTGGGCCTACCGCCATCTATGAGCGACGGCGGCAAGCCACGTATCTGGTTTGCGCCGTCGCGCAGAGATGGGAGTAGCCTTTCCACTCCGGCTTGCCGACTTGCGGCCAGCCATTACTTTCCATTGTACAGCTTCGCTGGTCCTCCTTCATCACCAGAGTGGAAATGCTGAACGTTATTTTGTATTTGTTTCCAAAAATAGTACAGTGCTTTCTTTAAAACCTTGAAAAATTCTTTTCGCCATAGAACACAAAAGAAAAAAAAAAAAAAGAAAACGTGGCAAGTTAGCCGCCAGTGCCGGGAATCACGCCTACGCAGGCTGACACAGCCCAATGACGAAAAAAAAAACCAAAACCCAGTGTAGTCGGGCAACACTAAAATATACTCTCAAAACCAGGGACGCGCGCTGTAAATCGCTTCGTTCCAGACTGCCGCTGGAAAGGTCTATAGTTTGCCTACAAAATGCACACTCCCAGAGGGAATGATATGTGCCACCCACAGTGGTGGTGGTAGCCCTGCACGCGATGCATACTAAACATCAGTTTGGGCATAAATCATTATGTATTTGAAAATAACAAGCAAATAAATTTGATTTATTTTAAATCACGTTTCTTTCACATAAATCAGATTTATTTTATTTGAATCACATTTTCTGATTTAAATCACTGTAAATCTTTATCTTTAATATTTATTATTTTACGAAGTTTTATACATGGCATTTCATCGATCAAGATGTCCGATCATGCAAGACTATCCGAGAAAATAATAACTGTTAATTTATTGTTTCGTACAGTTTGGTTAACAATCTTTTACTGGTGCAAATGGATAAAAACAGCTTAACGTTTTGTTTGTGAAAACGTTTTATTTGTTTTTCTTTCTCTTTTTGCGTTTTGATTAGTTTTCAATGCGGCATTACGTAACTTACGAAGGAAGTCAAAGGTAGAAAAAAAAAAAAGGCTGAACGCTCTGATTTTCTGATAAGAACACTAGTTTTCGTGTGTTGAGCCTGTATAAGTCTTTCTTGATTTATGATTTTTTTTTAATATTTAGACAAAAAACAAAAGCATCTGAAAAGCATGAAATGATTGACAAATGGTAATTAAGAATATTTTCGCGATTCTTTTTGCGGAAATATTTTTATTTGAATCATCATAGTAAACCAGGCATGAATGAAATGAAGATGTAAGTCATTTTCCTTTTTATATTTCGCCCTGACACCAACGAAAAAGTGACTACTTTGCTGGACCTCTCGGTTAGTAGCTACATTTGTTTCTGTACAGGAATATCTACTATATAGACATATCAAAGAGACACGACAATTGGCAAAATCCCAACACCCTGAAAAGTCGAAACCGAAGATCGAAGGGTGTGATGGGCGCTTAAGATAAGCGCCATTCCCGCCAACTTGCAGAAGCTGCGATGTCTTGGGGATAAAATATAAAAAAGGAGTGAATATCAAACAAAACAAACATCCCGAAAGAGCGATTATAGTCTACATGAACTCGTTTCCCAGCGCGCCTTTTAAGATAACTTTATGCGATAAACACGCCTGAGAGTTCAAAAGATTACCGGACAGTCTTCAAGTAGCCCAAGTAGCCTATCTATAGTTGCTCGCCGCCGGCTTCGCAGAAAGAGTATATCGAGCGGTGCTTACGGTCGCTCCTTCAGAAGGGACATCTGTTTCGAGAAACGCCCTATTTTACGCATTCGTCTAGAAGCTGCCGAGGATGAAGATCGAGCGAGCCAGCGAACGCAGAAATGATCTGGGCGAGGGACCTCACTGGGACTGTCGCAGCTCTACCCTGATCTACAACGACGGGAAGAGAGGAGAAATTGTGCGGTTCGATCCTGGGACCAAAACAGAGACCGACATCATTCAGCTCGGTGAGTATCGGTATTGAAGCCGGTCTCGCTGCAATCCGATTTCCAAGAAGCCGGGGACGTGGCTTCTTGAGCTCAGACTTTTGTGTGTGTTACTGCTGGTTACCTACCGCCTTACTAAACGTTACTTAATCGCGCACCCCATGAGCCGAAAAGCAGGCTTCCCTGTAACAGCACCAGCTTCCGGCAGCAATACCGCTTTAGGCGCTGGCCTGCGTGCGGAACCGCGCTACTAAAACTCCCTATCATAGACTAATGCTGAAGTCTCATCAGCTGCGGACCTTTAATTAAATGCTAGGGACGTGCCATAACTTGCGTTACTTTAGATGTTGCTGACTGCAGTCCCTTCAATCGATTTAGTAACGTTTTGCGAACATTTATCTATGAACTCTTTGGTACAGATTGATAATAACAGATGTGCCACTACAGGCAAATATGTTACTGCGGAATGTTTCCGAGTTGGCCTCAGAGTAGACAGAGCACCTACCTGAGAAACCGTGCGCCACACTTTGCTTCCAAACGCTGTCCTACGTTGTGAATGGGCAAAAAGCCCATTCACAACAGGTACATTTGGTTCCCTCCCTAATTTCAGATGGCGAGATCGGCAACATGATTCCTTACGTCGAAGACAACCGCAAGCTTATGGTCTGTATGGATAATGGCATCTACAAACTTGACCTCGACACCAGGGATCAGACCCTTCTTGCGGAGATGCTGGATCCAGAATCTCCGGTGCGAACCAGAATCAACGACGGCAAGTGTGACGCTAAGGGACGTCTCTGGGCCGGTGAGTAAATAGAAATTAGAGGGTTACAACCTCGTGCAAAAACTAACTTTTCGCCTTTTTTTTTTTTTTTTTTGTAGTGGTCGCCGTTTCTTTGGTTGCATCTCAGGGATAATCGCGTTCCAATTTGACGACAAGTTTTGATTACACCGTTCAGTCATGACATATTGTTGTACAGTCTTCGCTTCGCCAGACATACAATGTTTACCAGATTTTAGTCCACCTTCCGGCGTATAGACCGCTGTGGCCAATTTTACTCTAAAACATTTTTCCGTAGATAATCTTCTCCTTGTGCGTACTGTGTATCCGGTGAAATGTCCGTACCTGGTGCTTGGCCGTCATCTGAAAGATTCTCATACGTAGCGCACCTTTTCAAATGTCTGCAGTATTAGCTCACGAAGATGCTTGTATCATATATAAATCATTAACATGCCCTGATTCACAAAAACTTTTATGTCGCGTTATAATGAATGATCTAAGTCTTGTGTAGTCTGCAGTTGTACATAGCACGCACCGCGTAAAATTTCATAGTTTAAACTTGTATAGTTTGCGGACTATGATCCGGAAAATTAGGTACGAGCACGAGCTGTAACACAGCGGAACGCCAATACAAGAGAGAATCTCGCATGACGCGGATCGAGCGCAACCACTCCTTGTGCTATCGGAACCGACTCACCTCGCTATCATATGGGTAAACTCCAAGTTCCTATTTGCACTTTCAAACGAAGGATTATAGACCGCAGTAAAACCCTATCACGACCTACCAGAATCAAAGGTTCACTTAGGTCAAAACGCTGCAAATCACAATATAAACTTGTCTCGTTTGTGTTCGCTTATCAGGAACAATGCCAAGATTGGTCGACCTGGAGAGGTCTGCCCGAGGAGTCAACAACTTCTACTGCTATTCCAAGGGGAAGGTAACCTTGAAGATGCCGCAGATTTCTCTGTCCAACGGTATCGCGTGGACTTCGGACAACCGGACCATGTTCTACAATGACTCCGTACCGGGAACCACGTACGCCTTCGACTTCGACCTCGGCACCGGAGACATAAGTGAGATAATCTTGTGGTCATCACAACGAATGCTTGAAAGTCAAGCATGCCTCGTTGGTTCAGATATCATAGTCGTAAGCAGTAGATTGTTTCGCAGGTGTTGGCGTGGTACGGTGTTGTCAGCAAGAATAGGCCCTTTTCAAGAGTGTGCGCCATCTACTAGCTGCTGCGTCAATTATACTGAGTTCCGCCCTTGTTGAAGCGCCTACTCTGAGCGTGTATTGGACCGACCATGTATTGGACATGATTGTGACGTCAGCGCTCGGGGAGGACTCGGATCCAATCAAGCGCTTTGTGCCCAAAAAATGGCGACCACCAATGTTGCTTGATACGGTTTTCAGTTTTCTTTAAATTTCCATGCTCGTAAGTGAAGAGCATGACACTGCTACCAGAAACAGTTTTTACACTCCACTCGCACGTGGTTAGAATTGTACACTAATTTTTCCATCGTCAGTTGGTGCCAGGCATGTGCATAATTCATTACGCTGAAACTTTTAATGGTTGTGTTTCAATGCTCAAATGAAAACGGAAGGAGCCGATGACTGCGCGTTCACGCTAACCATGTAGCATTCTTACAGAACATTGCACGGGAAAGCCATATTCTAAATGGCAAGACATCTATTTAAAAGCACGTTGAATCGCCTTTGTGTTTTTACGTTATTTTACCCATGAAGTTTTCCATCCAAAGCAGCAAAAGCAGGAAGAGGCTCTAGAGAACAAAAAAAAAACTACATCTCGCCTCATCTCTCTTCATTTTGGTCAATTGTTTTGCCTCTCACACTTTTGTTTCTATTCCCTTTTCCTCTGTCTAATATGTTTAATTTTTGTGTCCCATTGTCCTACCCTTGCTCAAAAAGTGAGCGGCACTGGAGAACTTGGAGCAAACGTTCGCGCAGCAGAACCCAGTGTTTGTGGGTTAAATCCACACAACCCTACCTGTTCCGATTTCGATGAGTATCGCACCGACATACGGTGTTGTATTAGTGCAGCGTGGCTCGCGCTAAAGGCTGTTAAGTATTTCACCTACAGCGTGTAACAGAGTCGCCATAGACTCAAACTCTATTGAACCTAGCGTCTCATAAATGTTACCTCCAAATCAAGAGTAGTTCCTCAGACATGATGACTTTACCTATGTCGATGACAACGGTTAACATGTCTTGTCATTCATTAGACTTGCTATCGACGAAAATTGGCAGTTGACGCGCGGACTTTGCAGGCAATCGTCGCGTGTTCATCGATTTCAACCGTACGCCCGGGTACGAGCACCTCGGAATTCCCGACGGCATGACCATGGACGTCAACGACAAGATATGGATGGCCTGCTTCGGCTTTGGCTCCGTCATTCAGATCGACCCGGAAACAGGTACCCGATGTCGTATTCAGAGTAATGCGAAGCTAAGCCTCCGTGCACCTTTAAGGTTGGCTCACGCACTTGCTTGAGTACGATCGACTGCTTTACAACCGTTCGTGGTCGCATATGACGACCGAGCACACTGGCGCCATCTACCAAGTAGCCCTGGAACACATCCGATCTTCTTCATATGACTAATGACTAAACTGATGGTTGTTCAATATTTGCCAGGATCATATCTACGCACTATCTATTGGAAATGATTGTGTGTAACATTGCCAGAATTATTTTAAGCCCAAGGTGAAAGCAGGATGCCTAAAAAATGGGAGATATACGCAGATTCTACTGTTTCCAGGGTTACCCACTAGATGACTCATGTGTGTTCTATCGCAGTAAGCGCTCATTAGCGGTTGTAGCGCATTAAGATCAGACACAAAAACAACTGTGTATGCTGTGTGTTTCACTTCGCAATATTTGACTGGAGTATGTCGGCTATCATAGTAAAAACTTGGAGGACGCTTAAGGGTGATTCACACTCTCGCGTTGAGTCCGATCAGTGCTGGGGTTGCTATGGCAACAGCCGCGTCGGTTCCAACAAAACGGGTAAACTAAAACGGTTTTTGTCGGAGCCGGCACAGCTGTTGCCATAGCAACTCTGGCACTCGGCCGGACTCAACGCAGGTGTGTGAATCGCTCTTTAAAGGGCTACTCCACCGATTTTTTCATTGTCTCCGATTTGCTTGAAATTTTGCTAAACTAACCAACAAACATCGCGAAAATAGTATCCCGAATATTAGGTCAAAATATTGTTTTTTCGCGAAGTTATTGAATTTAGAGTTTTGGTCCTCACCGTGTTTTTCAAGCTCGAAGTCTCTACTGGCAACAATGAAAAAGTGACGTCAGTGGAAGGCAGGGGTTCACTCTTTGGGCTGTAGATTTTGTTTTAAACTGATTCGAAGCAGTTTCATGGTGTCAAATGAATGCTTGGGAAGCTCGCTGCAGTACCCGCGCTCCAGCACGGAACAAATGATTGGCATATTCTATTTTTTGGCTGCTTGCTCGACTGGCAAGCCTGCCTGCCACTGACGTCACGGCCCTGAAAAGCGCGCGTATATTTGAATGTTGGTTTTTGCATCATTTTCATTTGCGGATTTCGCAATAACTATTATGAATTTCGCGATTCTAAATAGCATACCGGAGAGAGTAAAGGCCGGGGAGTCAGAAAATATAGTTAGTTGAGGTAGCTCAAAAAATCGGTGGAGTACCCCTTTAAGCCTCGCCTTTAATGGCGCATTCACACTGGAAGCGGATCCGCGTTCGCGAAGCGGTCGCGGATGCGGTTCGCGAGCGACCCCGTTCAGACACACCGAGAGGCGGTTGGCGGTTTCTCGGCGATCACGCGTGATCTTTTGAGACTTGCGTTTGGCAACCCTGTATTACAATCCAAAATCCACTTTAATTCAAGATCCAAAGCCCAAGTTTTGCTATTTTGGCACTCGGAATATTTTTCTCCGGGATGTTCGCACGCATCACAAGTTCAGGCAGCGAAAAAAGAAGCATGGACCCGCCAAACTCGCCTGTGATTCCCTCGACTTCGCCAACAAGCAAAGCCCAGCTAGGCGCGCCTTGCTGACTCAGAACAGGATGCCCCCGACCTTTTCTTCGAAGTGGACCCTTCCCGCATGAATAGCTGACCTTGTTTTCGGGATAGAGGGCCAGTTTTCCCCCTCGTTGTTGTTCGCTCTTATCATTTTCGAAGTTGTGAGCGGTGGGGTGGACCGTGGTGCGGGGAAATGTGTTCGGTGCTAGCCGGTCGTGGCTTCGTTGGTGGCGGACTCTCCTCTCGTCACTCGCTCGTCGATCGAGTCTACTGTTTGTTTGACATTAAGCTTAAATAAACGCCGTATGGATTACCTAAGCACTGTCTGGTACGTACACTTTATTCCTTGAGTAGGTTCCCTTTATTTATTTTATTAGTAGTAAACGTTACAGATCGAGCTAGCGCAGGTACCCTGCCCCCTCCGCAATAGTGCGTTAGCTACGCAATCAAGCTCACGACGTCTCTATCGGCCTTCGTGGTGATCATGCACGGAGTCGAAAGCTTTCAATAGTTCACGCGACTATCTTAGTGGGTAGAAAAGCTGACATTTCGATTGATCAGGGGCGGGTTCCGATGTTCTACAGGCAGGGATTAACAAGACAGCGAGCTTGGGCCTGTGGCACCCGGAATAATAAACTAACTCTTACCCGAACCAAATCACCGGTGCGAAGCCCGTTAAAATTACAAGTCAATTCTTTTCGCGGTGGATTCAAGTGACGGACGTGAGCATCAAGTTTCTCCGTTGATATGTCGAAAGCTAAGACTACAGCGCTAGGACTACAGCGCCTTGGATGCCTCACCAGCGACAGGTGCCATCTTGTTTTGAAAGTCACTGACGTCACGTCAGCGTCGCGTTGTGATTGGTTGCCGCTTTGCGGTTCGTGAACGCAGTTGGGAGAAATCGGTCCCGAAGCGGTTGGCAAAAACGCGCTCCAACCGCTCGATCCTAGCCGCTTTGCGGTTGAGAACGCGCGGAACCGCTTCGCGAACGCGGATCCGCTTCCAGTGTGAACGCGCCATAAGAGTGGAACGCTATACCGTTATCGGGCACCGTTCGCAAAGCCTTCTCATAAACCCGAGCCGCTAAATTTTGTGGATTTTTTTTTTTTTTAATCTGGCGACAAATGTTTTTGCTACATTTGGGCGGCCAAATATTCCGTTAAAATTTCCCACCAAATTTAGCGGAAAATTTAGCGGGTCGGTAGGGTAATGGCGTCACAGCCACGCGTGACATGACACGTCACGTAACACGTGGCTGCGCGCGTTGCATTATGGGATTTCACGGTCCCGCCGACGCCGAATTTTCTGCGACACGAACTGATAAACGCTATCGCGTTGCGATATTAATCTCAATATTGACATCCGGTATATAAATAACAAGGAAATCGAAAGGAAAGGAATTTAAATAAGGAGTTCACTAATCGCATACCGTTTAGTGAATAAAAGAAAAAAAAAAGAGCAATAACTCAAAAGCTTGCATTGCCGTACGAAAATTTGAAAATATGGCGGACTATTTCGAACCACCTTTCCTTCGAAAGCGCTCCGCCTTTTCACTGTGATACATCCGCGGTACCCGAAGCACGTCACTCGGCCCCAGCTCGCACATAAAACACGAGCACTGCGTCACTCGGACATATGCGCTCGTGACTAATCAATACGTCGACGAATATTCGAATTCACGTTCGTGGGCAATGAGCGCCGTGTCGGCTCTTATCATCACTTGAGAATGACAATTAAGTGTCATGGTTTGTTTAAGTGACAAGGTGGAAGCTTGGAGTCATCGCACTTGGTGAAATACTACTTGACGACCACGTGGTGTCTCATTTCGCTTTTGATTTGAGGAGGAAAGCTAAGGAGGAAGGAGTTAAAAAACCATTTCGTTGCACCTTTAACATAAGTCTCTAAGTATGTGTAGCGGCAAAGTGTTGAGGCTTTTAGACGTGCTTTTCTAACTTTACAACTAGCTCGCCCATTTGTAAGCCATATGTTACAAAAAACAATAAAAAAACGGTGCAAGTGAGTTGTTTGACAACCACTTTGAATTTTTGCCTTTTGTCGGTACTATGGGCCTGTGTTTCACTTTCGAAATAACTCAAATGTCATTGATGTACACCAAATAAAATAGTTAAATAGTTTGATTGGTCGATAATATAAGGCTACACTGTATTTACGAGGTTATAATTTTGCTTCTGCAGCTAAAATCCTGAACACAATCAAAGTTCCGGCCAAGTACACCACGTCATGTTGCTTCGGCGGCAAGAACTACGACGTTCTTTACGTCACTTCCGCTTCATACTTGGAAGACGCCACGCAGCCTGGTGACGGATTGCTTTACCAGGTTACCGAACTTGGTGTCAAAGGAAAGGCCGCCTTTGAATTTGCCGGTTAATGTTCGAGCCTTCTCTGTGGAATAATTATCCGGTCTGTTTTACTAAAATTGTCAAAACTGTGTCCAACAGAACAAAAAAAAAAAAAAAAAAAAGCCATTGAATTATAGTGTTATCTTTTGATTTGAGGTATTGGATGTAATAATAAAACATTTCAAGCAAGCTTGTTACATTGTTGTTGTTTTTATATGTTCTTTGTCAGTTCCACTGAAGAGAAATGCAAATATTTGCGCCAACGCTTCAAAATTGCATTTAGTGAGTGTATGTCATGATTCCTGCAAATGATACTGGCCTTAGTGAGTGCCCGCCATGTTCTAAGCAAAGCATACTCTCTTTAATAAGTGCACGTCATGCTTTCAGCAAATATTATCCCTGGCTGAACATCATGAAGAGGAGGAACATGATGCCACGTATTGGCATAAAACACGAAGTAATACAACGAGCAACTCTTTAAACCGCGAAAAATAAACAACCCTCGCTAACGGCCGGATAATTTAAGATATACGCGTAAATGAGTGGACCAGCTACGCCACAACAAACGCTGCTGAAACTCCGCTCACGCCTACATTTGTGGAGCACTCGGTGAAACAAGCGTAAAGAATTCCTTGTTTATGGTAATTATAAAAAACGATTTAATTTTCCCTTTATTGCTTTACATGGGGAAGCCGTGGTCACTGAAAATATGTTGTATACGCACGCAATGACGACAGAAAGAGAAAAAACTAGCAGATGAGTTTACGATTTTGTTCATGGAATGATACGAACTCTATATGGGAATTCACAAAGAAACTCCAAAATCTTCTGATGAGCAGTGTAGCTCGTCCAAATTACGCCGAAGTTGTGTACAAAATTAGTGCGAAAGAGAGATGAAAAGCTGAGAGACACCTCACATGCTTTTTTTTTTTTTTTGTTACCTTGTTTGTGTCCTATGGAGTGCGGGAGCACGGCTTTGTTGAATGCTTTCGCGAGCGCTCGCGAAAAGAAAGCATTTTGCAAAGCCGCGCGCGACGTAACCTTGTCGAGAAATGTTGGCCTGCAACTGTAATGACATGCATTTAAATCTCGCCAACAAATTTAAAAACTGGGATCGAATGCCGCAACTTAGAAACTCGATAACATGTGGCTAGAAATGGTATGAAAAGGAATTCATGTTACTTTAAAGTCTGTGCCTACAAAACAGAAAAAAAAAGAGAAAAACTTGAAGCAGTATTTACACATCTTTACACTGTTACTGTACAAAAGATGCAACTGCTGCACCACTGTACTTTCTTGGCTTCTTCACACTTAGAAACTACAAGAACAGCGAAAAAATAACTCCCCCTTTGGTACGCAATTGATGCTACTTTATCAGTGAACTGAGCGGACTTAATCAGCATGCAAGGCACCGATGTATAGAAGCACAGTCATATTTCTGCATGAGCAACAACACGACAAAACGGAAATAAATTACCTTGGTGCCTTTCCTCAAAATGTGTTGTGAAGAATTGTGTATTGTATCAGGACAGCTATCATCGCAGCAAAACAAGAGAAAGTGTTTGAAGGAAACGTCATTAGGAGGGAACTTCCATGACTATAACAATACTCTGTTTTAGCATAACTTAGTAAACATAAAAAACCATGGCATCAGCGAGCAGATTGGAGCCCCAGTCATGTGACAGCATACTTTCGAAGTTACTCCTCCTGTGGTGAGCTGACAGGTGCTTCGCCCCATCACTCAATGCCTGGAGCATTCGTCCGTTAGCAAGTTATGGTGAAATAGAACAACAGACTCAGTTCCTGTGTTATTTTTGAATGATATGACCAATGTAACACCATGTCAATTCCCTGTAGCACTGTGTGTGGAATTCTCTAACTGTGCAATAAGCAAAAAGGTGCCCTTATGCAAAAGGCGATGTATCCAAGGGTCAGTCTTGTTGCAGATATAGAAACAAAAACTTGCCAATAATGGTTCTAGTACATTGGGGATTATCAAATGTTTTTATTTATAGAAATGGCAAGAGAGGCATTGTTAAGGCCATTGTACAATTTATTTTCAAGTACCAATAAGAAGCCATATCTTAAAAAGGTAAATGAAAAAGCATGAAGAAAAATGGCAACAGTTAAAGTCAAAATCGTTTGAAATGTGCTACAGGTCAAGATATAAAAATCAAAAATTCAAGAACATGAAATGCAAGGGGACACCGAGCAAAGCAAGCAAAGCCGCTCCGCCCATTGTGGTGCTGCAATCACACTCTGAGTTAACTACTAATAATAATAACAATACTTCGTGCGTATTCGCTATTCGGATACGGATAAGAAACCACCCTTATCCGAATTTCAGGTGCGGATAAAAATGCTTCCTTATTCGCTAGCCAGGTGCGGATAGGGACAGCCTGAATGTCACGTGATTGCCTGAATGTCACGTGATAGCCGGAATGTCAAGATGCCATGTTTGCCTACATCGCCCGCGCCATATCGGTACGGCGTGATCGCTTGCTTTCGGACGCGGTGCGATGGTTCGTTCTTTTCTGTCCACGCTGGCAAAACATACGCGACCAAAGAAGGTGCAAGTTTCCATCCCTACCCAAGAGGAAAACAAGTGGAGTGGGGTATACATATCATTTTAAAACAAGGCAAGAACGTGTGGGCGTTCGCGAGGGTGTGGTCGAACCACTTAGCGAATGCTTTCACGACGAATCGTGTTGTATTTCGTATTATGTTCTGCTTTCCTTCGTGAGTGGCTATTTCGTTCTCTGTACGGATTCCACTGGCAGAACTCGGCGCCATCGATAATTCGGTAATCCGTCTTCCCTCTTCAGCCGCACCGGAATTTCTTTCTACGTGTCATGCGTGACACCTGTCTCGCTGCAAAGCGTGGCTGAATGAAAGCCCATTCAGCTGTGAGAAGCAGCTGCCGCGTCGGGAGTGTCGGAAGGGTCCTCACTTTGGGTTGTGCCGGGCTTCCACTAGGTGGCGACACCGAAACTTGTCACCGCGAATATTCGTTCGCCGCCGGCTTTTTAGAAAGAGTGCGTCGAGCGGTGCTGACGGTCGCACCTTTAGAAGGCACCCCTGTGCTAGAAACACTTGAGCGTATTTAACGTGTTCATCTCGGAGCTGCCGAGGATGAAGATCGAGCGAGCCAGCGAACGCCGGAATGATCTGGGCGAGGCACCTCACTGGGACTGGCGCAGCTCTACCCTTATCTACAACGACGGGAAGAGAGGAGAAATTGTGCGGTTCGATCCTCAGTCCAAAACAGAGACCGAAATCATTCGTCTCGGTAAGTATAGGCATTGTAGCCCGTCTCGCTGCATCTGGCTTCATTTTATAGTCAATGGCACCTTAAAGGTATGCTGAACCATAGCCTCCACCACACTGACAAAGCCTGGCAGATCGCCACGAGACGCGGCCGCCGAAAATGAAAAGGTAGAGCGGCAGACAACGGATGAGAGGAGAGGAATGTAACGGGCGCCCCGCTGCGGCGAGACGCCGAACCACACTTGTCCCGAGCGATTGAATGTCCGCTCGTGCTCCTAGCGTTCTTCGCGCTACCGCTTCTTTTCTCGTCGGGTTTGAAAACCATGTTTCGGGTCCTCGCCGCTGCAAAAGCTGTGCGCTGACTACAGGCTCCCCGAGAAATCCTCTGTGCTACCAGATCATTGCGCTCTACATCTGCGGCCGGGCGCTCTAGAGCTTCGTCGTCGAACTGCCAGGCTTTGTGAGTGTAGAGCAGGCAATGGCTGAACCCAGGCATTTCACTGTATACATAATAAGTGGAGCACGATCTTTCTACGAGCCAGCAGCCGCCAGTGTGCGCGAGCACACGGAACTAAATTGACGTTATAGTCCCCCATTCACGCTTAAGATGAAACTGAAATGTTTGGGCTCCGGGGTAAAGGAAAATAAAGGCATGCTTTTCATCTACAGAGTGGTGTCTGGTGATAAAAGGTAGGCGATTAATTGGCGTAACAAACACGTAGCGTTCACTTGTGGAGATTAAAATCCTGTCTTTATTCCCCTTTTTGCCCGGAGCACGTACATTTCACTGTCATCTTAAGCTTAAAGGGGGGACTATGACGTCAATTTCGTTGTGTGTGCTCGCGCATACCTGCGGCTACTGGCTCGTGCAAAGATCGCGCGCCACTTATTATGGACACAAACATGTTTGGCTTAGTATCCATTTAAAAGGAAGTTGAAGAGGTTTCTTGCAAGGAACGAGTTAGAGGTGAATTTTTTAGTTATTTTATCCCGTGAATCTGAATATCATGTTCTTTTTTCCCCGAACATGTAACTAAACGCGAGAAAACACAAAAAAAACTCCGACCAGTCGTTACGTCATCAAAGGATATTTCGTCCGCCAAGCGCGTGTCGCTCGTATGAGCAGCGCATGCAATTTCAGGCTTTCCAGGTATTTGCGACGTGTGCGATCGAAAGCTTCGCTGTGGTCGGCCCACCACAATTGGCCGAATGCTGACTATGCCGTCAGCAAAGGATGTCTCATCGACGGAAATAAGAGGATTGCAAGAACTTCATTTTTGGCAGTGTTGGCAGTGTTGCTTTGAGAGTGTTATAATTTCAGGCTTCCACCATGCCCGTTACAAAGACCATCGAACTTGTTCACAAGGTAATGACGTCACGAAAGGTAACCGAACGAGGGCGCCACCGAAACATTTCGCCGCTAATAGGAAGTATTCACTGGACGCCACATTTGTGGGTGCTGTTTAGAGCGCATGCTCAGAGCGAGCTCACATCAATAGGCTGCTAAGACTGGCACTCTTGACGGTGTGGAATGCACGTTTCAAAACAACTGTGGAAGCTCGCCATCAGCACGCGCTCAGCATTCGCGCACACAACTATGGCCGCCAGTGAATACTCCCTATATTCCCCCGCACTGACAGAAGTCGTGACGTCTGTTGGGTCCATATCACAAGAGCGAATGACATTTTAGCGAACGGCGACATTTGAGCGAATGGTCGTTTTAGCGAATAACGGGGGCGCGCGTTAACCCATCCGTCGCGCTGCGCTTTACGCCGCTTCGCGGCGACAGTCTGCGGCAACTCATTACAAAAATATGAACTCACTTGGCCCACCCGAAAACGCCGCTTCGCGGCGTCCGACTATTCGCTAAAGTGTCGTTCGATGAAACGTGGGCGTTCGCTAAAACGTCATTCGATCAAGTGAGTGCCTCCCACGTCTGTTTCTCATCTTTCCGAACATAGCATGACTGCACGTGCCCCGGTAGGCGCTGAAGATTCGCAAGAGTGGAGTTTCCGAAAACTCCTCTTATGACGTAACGCTTCGAGAAGGAGGGGCTTCAGCGCTACTTTGAAAAATATTTTCTGCAGACTCCGTGCACTAAATTGAAAAACAAGTAATCTCGATATTCGTTATTTTGGAGGCTAAATGAAGACCATTTAAGTTTTCATTCTCAAACACAAAAAACCGCTTCAGCTTCCCTTTAAAGAAACACTGACTACCCCTAAAACATTTTTCTTATTTTTTTTTCTTGGTCAGAGGATTTAACAGGGTTGTCAGGAGACTACCCAATCAATATTTTGCTGCGGATCCACGTATGTATATGTAATAAAGCAAATAAACTCAACTTATCGAAATCGAAATTGAAACTTAAGCACGGAAGCTCATGGCCGGAAGTCAAATAAATACCCCCGACCGCTTTTTTTTTTCTGCTATTTTTGGCGCGTAAAGCAGACGGCGATGACGGCGAATGTGCGTTGTTCGAGGCGGGGTTTAGGCCGCACGTCCGGAAGCTTCCTGGCTCGAGACGACGTCCATTCCCCGAAGTGAAGAACCCAGGGGTTCAGTGGAGGTGGGAGACTTGGTAACGTAACGAACGGTTTAATTACATGGTAGCGATACAGTCGTCAAATCCGAGAGAACAACGGAGCAGCCTCGCGCTCCGCCTTATATAGAGTCCGTCTCTCCCTCACTCCCCGCCAGGGCAGCCAGTGCGATGCAGCAACCCGCCGTCAAGTGCGATGCAGCAAAGTCCGCCGTCCAGTGCGACGTAGCCAAAGTTCTCCGCAGTTAGGCCATGCCTCTCTCCCTTTCCCGAGCGCACCAACCACCACGCACACACACACGTCCCGCTAACGTCACGGGCGCGTTGAGGCTTGTTGTGACAGGCCCCGTCACGCAGGCGACGGTCCCGGACTCGTCGGGACTCGTTTCGCGCAGGCCCCGACAAGCGGGCGACGGTCCCGGACTCGTCTTGACTCGTTTCCGCAGCGTTGAAACTCGGGAGAAGGTCGCCGAAGGTTCCATTCTTAACAGCGTACACCGTTTGTCACGCTTATCTCACTTCCGCTCGCTGTTCTGCGCTTGAAGATCGATTGGCCGGTAGTACAATCAACGACTGTTCCGAAGTCGCAGCCCCACGTCCGTCGCAACGTTGGTGTGTCATGCGCTGGCCCCCATCGCGTCGTCCAGCCCGCGGTACGTCGCCATATTGAAGATGACGTAGTACTTGTACTTCCTGTCATATGTGCAGCATTTCTTTCTCGGTCACCCTATTTACAACTTTTTGGAAGCCTAAAAAATCCGGTTTATATATATATATATATATATATATATATATATATATATAATATTGAATGTGCGTCTTAGACGACCCCCGGCTTTGAATTATTTGGTACACATAGGTTGAACACCACGTGGCAACGTAAAAGAGATTGAGCTCGTCTAAAACCGGCAATTTCTCGACCGGCTGTTTTCAGGCGGAAAGAAAAGCGAATTTCGAACGGCAAATTATGTTCTGGGTAGTTGGGCTCTTAGATGTCATGTTCAAATAAAAACCTCGGCAAGCATAAATACCCTGTCAGATGTCCCTTTAAAAACCGCCGGGCTTGGTTTATTAGCTTGACATTCTTGCTTCGTGATTTGTTCTTCGGTGTCAATAGGGAGTATTCACTGGACGCCATATTTGTGGGTGCTGTTTAGAGCGCATGCTCAGAGCGGGCTCACATCAATAGGCTGCTAAGACCGGCACTCTTGATGGTGCGGAGTGCACGCTGCAAAAAGAACAGTGGAAGCTCTCCATCAGCACGCGCTCAGCAGTCGCGCACACAGGTATGGCCGCCCGTGAATACTCCCTATAGGGTGTTTTAGAAGAGCTTACCGCTGGTTACCGCGGCCAAGGTAGGGCTCGCGAGGCGTGCTGAAAAGCTGGCTTCGAAGTCATAGCGCGAGCTTCCGGCAGCAATTTCGCTCTATGCGCTAGCCTGAATCCAGAACCGCACTGCTACAACTCCCTATTATAGACTAATGCCGGAATCTTATTGACTTTGGAGCTTTAATTAGATGCTAGAGACCCGCCATAACTTGCATTTCTTAAGGCCCGTTTACACATGCAGCGGAGCGCTACAAGCATAGCGCTAACCTCGCGCTAAGCGCGTGCTGACGGCAGCGTTCGCCAGCTTTGTATCGCACCGTCAAAACTGTTGCTCATGGCAGAGGATAAGTAGCCGACGACGCGTGAGGAGCGCTACATGAGCGCTTCGCTGCATGTGAGAACCGGCCTTTAAGGTGTCGTTGACTGTAGTCCCTCCAATCAACCTAGTAATGTTATCCGAACCTTTATCTATGGACCCTGAGGTAGAGAAAACAGTAATAGAGGTTGCACTGCAGGCAAATATGTGACTGCGAAATGTTTCTGAAATTACCTCATAGTTGACGGATCACCTACCTGAAGAAAACGTGTGCTATACTTCGAGTTCAAGAGTTGCCCTCTTTTGAATAAGAGCGCAAATTTTAGTCGCTATAAATTTTCTTTGAAAAGCCCACCCACAACAGGTATACACTTGGTTCCTTCACTTGCAGATGGCGAGATTGGCAACATGATTCCTTACGTCGAAGACAACCGCAAGCTTATGGTGTGCATGGAAAATGGCGTCTACAAACTTGACCTCGACACCAGGGAACAGACACTTCTTGCGGAGATGTTGGATCCAGATTCTCCGGTACGAACCAGAATCAATGACGGCAAGTGTGACGCTAAGGGACGTCTCTGGGCCGGTGAGTATACAGAGAAGTTAGAGGGTTACAACTTCGTGTAAAAACAATTACTTTTTTCTGTAAAGGTCGCCGTTTGTTTGACTGGATCTCGGGGTTCGTTTCCATTTAACGTCAAGTTTCGATTACACCATTTAGTCGAGTCATATTGTTGTACGAACTTTGCTGCGCCGGACTCACCATGCTTTCCGAACTTTAATCCGCCCCCGGTGTATAGTCAGCGGGGGCCAATTTCGATTTAAGAAAGTTTCTTCGTAGAGTTTTCCTGGTCCATACTGTGTATCCGGTGCATTGTCCGTACCTGGTGCTTAGCCGTCATGTGAAAAATATCCACAGCGCACCTTGTCAAATGTTTGCCTTATTAGCTCACAATGAAGGTAGTATCGTACATAGTTCATCATTAACATACTCTGTCATTCCCAAAATTTATTACGTCTCGTCATAATGAATAATCTAGGAAAAACAAATCCTTGTCTAGTCCGCAGCTTTACCATAGTACGGACCGCGTAAAATAATAACTTTTAAACACGGGCTATGGTTCGCGGGCTATGGTTCAGAATATGCAGAACGGGTACGAGCTACCACAGCGGAACGTCGAAGAAAGGAGAGGAAATCCCGAATGATGCCTTTCGAGCGTTACACAACCTTGTACAACTGGAACCGACTTGTATTGTTATCATATAGGTAAAACCTAAGTTTTTTTTTTTTTTTGCATTTTGAGACAAACGATTATACAGCGTAATAAAACCCTATTATGACTATGAATTACAATTATAAAACTAAGTATCACTTGGATCGAAACCCGGCGAATCACAAAATGAATGTGCCTCGTTTGTGCTCGCTTCTTAGGAACAATGCCAAGATTATACAACAAGAACAACGCTCGAGGAGTGAACAACTTATACTGCTACTCCAAGGGCAAGGTGACTTTGAAGATGCCGCAAGTTTCTCTGTCCAACGGCATCGCGTGGACGTCGGACAACCGGACCATGTTCTACAATGACACCATACCGGGAACCACGTACGCCTTCGACTTCGACCTCGGCACCGGAGACATAAGTGAGATAATACTGCGGTCATTTCAACAAATGCTTGAAAGTCGAGCGTGTCTCTTTAGTTTAGGTATTATAGTCATAAGCAGTAGATTGTTTCCTAGGTGCTGGCGTGGCACGGTGTTGTCAGCAAGAATAGACCCTTTTCAAGACTGGTGCGCCATCTACTAGCTACTGGGTCAATTATACCGAGTTCCGCCATTTCTAGAGCGCCTACTCTAAGCTTGTATTAAACACGAGTGTGACGTCAGCGCTCGGCGAGAACTCGGATCCAATAACGCGCTTCGTTTCCCAAAAATGGCAACCAGCAATGTTGCTTGATAGGGCTTTTGACTTTTCGTTGCGGCTCCGTGCTCGTGGGTAAAAACGTGACAGTGCTATTAGCGGCGAGATGTTTTAGTGGCGCCCTCATATGGTTACCTTTCGTGACGTCATTACCTCGCGAACAACAAGTTCGATGGTGTTTGCAAGGAGCACGGTGGAAGCTTGAAATCATTGCACTCTTAAAGCAAGACTACCAACACCGTCGAAATTGAAGTTCTTCCATTCCTCTTACTCCCGTCGATGAGACATCCTTTGCTGACGTCATAGTCAGCATTCGGCCAATCGTGGAAGGTCGACCACAGCGACGCTTTCGATCGCGCACGTCGCCAATACTCTGTTTCACTTTATGATGTACCGCAGAAAGGGCTACAAGCGTGAGCTCCTTGCTCTAGGGCGCATCAAGGCGGCACAAGCTCTCGTGCGTTCAGAGTAGCTCCCAAAGCTATGAGCTCGAGCTTCTAGCCTCGTCTGCGGTACAGCTTAAGGTGAAACGGAGTACAGCCGGGACGTTTTCGTTTTTTTACACTTACTCACACGTTGTTGGAATTGTACACTAATTGCTACATCCTCAGTTGGTGCCTCGCATGCGCAGGTTTCATTACACTGAAAATTTTGATGATTGTCTTTCGATCCTCCAATGAGAACGGAAGAAGCAAATGAGGTGTTCGCTCTAACCGTTTAGCATTCTTGCAGAACTGTGCACAGTAAAACCATATTATAAATGACAAGATGCATTAATTTAGAGGCAAGTTGAATCACCTGTGTGTTTTTATGTTATGTTACTCGCGAAATATTCCATGCACAGCAGCAAAGGGAGGAAGAGACTCTAGGGAACAAAACTTCATCTTGCCTCATATCCTCGCAATTCTTCATCATTTGGGTTACTTCTTTTGCTTCTCTCGCTCTTCTTTCAATTCGCACCTTCTTCCTTTTTCTACATTATATGTTTATTCTTTGTGTCCCATTGGCCCTACCCCGGTCAAAAACGTGAAGGTGACCGGAGGACGTGAAGCGAAAGCTCGCGCTGCAGAAACCAAGGTTTCTGGCTAAATCCTTAACCCTGACCGTTCCGACCTGGATGCGCATAGCACCGCCGTACGCGTCGTGTATTACTGCAGCGTGGATTGCGCTAAAGACTATCAGACGTACTACACTGGCTAAATATTTCATCTGCAGCGTGGACCAGTGTTGCCATAGACTGGCAGACTAAACTCACACTCTCTGAAACCTAATATCTAACTAATTTTAACCCCAAACCACGAGTGTTTCTCAGGCATGCGATGCCTTTATCTATATCGATGACAATGTTTAATAAATACTGGAATTCACTACTTTTGCTATCGACAAGAAATTGAGCACTGCTGTGTTCATACACAGGACTGTGCGACACGTGACGTGTCATAGGGACAGCTGCCTGCGACACGTCACGGCGAAGTCTTTGGGCGCCGGCGCCACGTGTACGCACTGTGTGGCAGTGGGGTGCGTTCGGAACAATATGGGCATTTAACTTGTTCTGAATGTGTTTGTTTTGTTCCATACTGTTCCAAACGCGTTTTTTTTTTTTTTTAACCGACTGAAATTGCGTTTCCCGGCACGAGTTTTTGGCATTCACGTGCTATAACGATATTTTGTTATCGGCTTCTTTTTATTTTTTTTTATTTTTTTTTTAGAGAGCGCGTTTTAGGCAGCGCGTACAAAAACCCTAAGTTTAGAGCGGGTTCATAAGAACTTTTAGCAAACCGTTTCCGTGTTCCGCGTACCGCTTTATCGGAGCATGCTTTTAAGCGCCGCCGGAAGGATACCGTGACCGCGAGGCGCGCGCTTTCAAAGTAGTATTCAAAGGCTCCGGTATAGTGCGGTACGCGGAACGCGGTAACGGTTCGCTAAAAGCCTCCATTATCGCTGTGGCGTAGCTGAGGGGAAATGTCTCCGCCTGGCAGGCAGCGGAGCCAGTTTCGATTTCAGCAAACGGGCGCGGCGGCCGGCGATCTTTGTGAAGGATTTTGCACCACCGATCACTCGCGCTCTACGTCGCCAACTACAACTTCAACAACTAAGTACTACAACTACGACATCGACAACTATGTCATCAACAACGAATTTCATTTCCAGCGTTGAGAAGAGCCCATAATGGCTATCGCTGCCAAACCGGAAATAGACCTTTTGCTGAATTACCCAAGCTTCAAAAATAATGCCGGGAACGTAGGTACACGCGCTGCGGGTGCGGGCGTCCTCAACTCTGACTGTTCGAGAGCAAAAATCTAAAACAAATGGCACTTCGCACTTCCGTTCCTTGCAGCTTTATTTTGGCTATTTACTTCGAATCTTTTCTATAGGGGAAGGGAAGCATGTGCCAGCGTATACCAAGGTTCCCGATATTCTCTTTGATGCTTGGGTAATTTAGCGAAAGGCCTATTGACACACAGACGTTGCTTTGCAGGCAATCGTCGTGTCTTTATCGATTTCAACCGTACGCCTGGGTACGAGCACCTCGGGATTCCCGACGGGATGACCATGGACGTCAACGACAAGATATGGATGGCCTGTTTCGGCTTTGGCTCCGTCATTCAGATCGATCCAGAAACAGGTACCTGATGTTGCATTCAGAGTAATGCGAAGCTAAGCCTCCGTGCACCGTTAAGGTTGGCTCACGCATTTGCTTGAGAGCGATCGACTGCTTTGCAACCGTTCGTGGCCTCAGACGACGAGAAAACAATGGCGCTATCTATATCATGAAGTCCTGGGATACTTCAGAACTTCATATAACTAGACTGATGGTTGTTCAGTATGTGACGGGATCAAATCTACGCTCTATTTATGGGAAATAGTTTCGTATACCATTGTCGGAATTATTTTAGGTCTGTGGTAAAAAAAGGATGTTAAAAAAATTTTGTTTAAAAATACGCGCAGATTGAACGGGTTCTAGGGCTACTTGCTAGACGGTGCCTGTGTCTTCTATCGCCGTAAGCGTTCACAAGCGGTTGCAGCGCACTAGATCACAGATGAAAACAACTGGATTGGCCAGTCTAACCTGTGTGTTTAACTTGGAAATATTTTTCTGGCGTTTGACGGCTATTATTGCAAGATATATATTTCAGTTTCATGACTTCTAGCTGGTATATGCATTCCTAGGAAATAGAAAGGAAAAAAAATTCCTTCCGAAAACGTCTGAATGACAAGCCCCTTTCCGTACTCACAAACTTGACGTCTCGAAATTTTATTTAATTTTTTATTTATTATTTATTTTAATGTCGTACAATGACACATTATTAGCTTAAAATGGCCATGAAATGGATGTAGGGCTTGATTAGATGATTTTAGATTGCGGTTTTACTAACCGCATATCGTTTAGTGAGCCAAATGAAAGAGGGTAGGAAGTAAAAAGCCTGTTAATACCGCAGCTTGGGCTAGTTTGTTTTCATATTTCTGTACTTCACAGCGCATAAACGTCGCAGTGCACGTTTATGCGCTATGAAGTACAGAAATATAAAAAGCCTGTTTTTTGGTACAAAAATGAGGGGACACAGCGGGCCATTTCGTACCTCTTATCCTTTGAAAGCTCTCCAACTTTTCACTGTAATACATTCGCGGTACCCAAAGCACGTCAGCCTACCCCAGAACACGCACTGGCCACGAGCACTACGTCACTCGTACATATGCGCTCGTCAACAATAAGTCCATCGACGAATATTCGGACTCGCGTTCATAGCCAACGAGTGCCGTGACGGCGCTATCACTTGCGAATGTCAAGTTTCATGGTTTGCTTAAAAAACACGGGGGAAGCTTAAAGTAATTGCATTTGGTGAAATACTACGTCACGCTACCACGTGATTTCTTATTTTGCTTTTAAGTTGAGGAGCAAAGCTGAGGAAGAAGTTTAAGATACATTACATGTGCCCTTTAACAATTAGGTTCAACATTTGTGTAGCCGATACGTGTTTTAGGTTTTTGTGAAACCTTAAATATCATGTGCCTTTCTTACTTCACCATTATGCCACCGATTTGTAAGCCACGTCACAACCATCAAGAAAAAAAACAACATTGCAAGTGAGATGTCTGACGAACACTTTGAATTTTTGCTTTGTGTTGGTACTCTCTGCGTGTGTTTCACTTTCAGAATAGCTCAAATGCCATTGATGGATACCAATCTAAATAGTCAGATTGTTTAATTGATCGATAATGTGAGGCTAGACTGTATTTACGAGGAAATTATTTTGCTTCTGCAGCTAAAATCCTGAACACAATCAAAGTTCCGGCCAAATACCCTACGTCATGTTGCTTCGGCGGCAAGAACTACGACGTTCTTTACGTCACTTCCGCTACCTTCATTGGGGACGCCACGCACACTACTGACGGATTCCTGTACCAGGTTACCGAACTAGATGTCAAAGGAAAGGCCGCTTTTGAATTCGCCGGTTGATGTTGAAGCCCTATATCTAAAAGTATTCTCCAGTCTGTTTTTCTTGAGGAATTGTCAAGGCTGTCACAAACACAATAAAAAAATAAAAAAAAACACCATTAATATATGTTGCCATCTTTTGTTATCAGGTATTGGATGTTATAATAAAATGATTTTCAGGAAGGCGTGTTACTTTGTTATTGTTTTTCGATGGTCTATCTTAGTTACAATAAAGGGGAATGCAAATTTTTGCGTCAAAGCTTCAAAAATTCTGTTTAGGGAGTGCATGTTATAATTCCAGCAGGGCATGTTGCCTTTAGTAGGGGCACGCTATGATTTCAGCAAAGCATACTATTTTTATTCAGCGCGCGTTATGCTTTGAGCAAAGCATGACGTGCGTATCACAAAGTAATACAACAAGCAGCTGTTCGCCCCGCGACTAATAACTTTTTTAACGGCCCGATATTTTAACAGATATGTGTACATGAGTGCACCAACTACTCCACAACAAGCGCCAACTCTTTATTAACGCCTATATTTGTGGTACACTCGGTGAAACTTGCGTAAAAATATTGCCACATGGGTATTTACGAGAAACTGTTAAATTTTTCTTTTCTTTTTTTGCTTTGCATAGGGTAGCCGTGGTAACTGAAAATATATATTTTATGTTCTGGCACACAATGACGACAGGGAGGAAAACTACCAGATGAGTTTAATATTTTGTTAATTGAATGCTCTAAATTGTATATAAAAATTTACTAAGAAATACCAAACTCCCCTGTTTAGCAGCGCAGCTCATCGAAATAAGACTCAAAGTTGTATACAAAACTAGTGCGAAAGAGAGATGAAAAGTACAGACACTTCGCATACTTTTTGTTATCTTGTCTGTGTTATATTAACTTGATTATCACATTTGCATTACAGACACTGCATACTTTTAGTCACCTTGTCTGTGTCATATTGACATGATCATCACATTTTGATTACTCTAAAATAAAACTTTGTTTCGCTTATATTGGAAGCATTGTGAATAGAATTTGTTGCCGAGTCCCTTCGAAAGTTCTCCACGTCTGTACCCCCCCCCCCTTTTTTTTTTCTCTCTTTTTTTTTCGAATCAGCGTTGCCAACTTAGTCTTTTTCCCGCGAGATTTAGCTTTTTTTGGTGGTTCATCTAGGTGGCAGAACTATGGTGTAGCGGCTAGCGGGAAATTCTAGCATGTTTGTATTAAACCTAGTGGGTTTTCTAGCTTGTTTTCAAAACAACTATTCTAAATACTTTTATTTAAAACTCTGCTACGAGTCGTATTCCAAAAGTTACTCGGCCTCGCATTCCAGTGACCTCACACGCTCCGGAAACACATCTACCCTGCCTACCCGACCCACACCATCCGCCAGCGCAACACCACCTTGGTGGGACCTAGGCCACCTAGCCAGGCACGTAGCAAGGGGGCGGGGGGGGGGGGGGGGCCCATGCCCCCCTCCCCCCCCCCCCCCCCGAAGTCTTTCATTTTGCTGGGACCTCTCCCCCCTCCCCCTCATACAGCATTTTGTCATGGGCGCCCCCCCCCCCCCCACCGAAACAAGATCCTGGCTACGTTCCTGCACCTAGCACCTAGTAGACTGTCTTACACGTCTTGCATCGCTTGGTGGTCACGTGATCTGGCCCTCTGGACTAACCTGGATTTACTCGAGTGGGTCTGGTCGCGCAGCTAGCCGTCTAGCAGCGAAAAATAAACGCGGCCCTTTCTGGTACCTGCAGCCCCGCAGCTAAACCTGCTAAACCGCTACCCGTGGTTTTGGTATTGTTCTTGTTGTTTATTTTTTATTTGCATCAAGGACAACGTACAGGATACTGGAGGCTTGTGGAAAAAGCTGTCACAAGGCCAGCTTAACAAAGCCACAGAACCCGACATTAAAATTTGTGCAAAAATATTCCAAAAGCCGGGAATCATTATGATCAAGAAAACTGCGCCGATTTTACTTAACGAGATGAGCAATTTGATTTAATTGTTCATCTTGTTAAGTAAAGTCGGCGCAGTTTTCTTGATTAAAATTTATGCAGCACTAAAAAAAACATGCCATACAGTTTACAGCATTAACAAAAAAAAATATAGAGAAGCAACAATAAATAAAAGTCAAATTACGTCACAACCACGCAAACGAACGACCATGCACAACAACTCTCATGGTTTAATGATATTATGCAGCATTTTTTTACATATATCGACTGGGGTTGAAATAACACAATGCTTTAAACGTGATATATAAAAGCTCGACATTTTCGTAATCTTGGTAGTTTGTTTTTCACCGTAGCTTCCCGTGGATTGTTCTGTGTGTGCTAACTTTCCAAAGCTCAATAGGGCGCGCTGTGTAGGCTGTGGTATTATTTTGTAAGTTAGCTAGTCCTTTTAAAAACGATGATTTATTTGTGACCTCTTGTTTAAATGCTTTAGAAAGCCAATAATCGTACAATTTTTGGATTGGTAATACGTTAGATTTTACGAGCAACTCATGTGTGTGAAAGTAAGACGGAATATTTTCAACAATTCTTAGAAACTGTTTTTGTAAGACAGGTATTTCACCTAGATTTGCTTGAGTTGTGGATGCCCAGACTAAATGACAGTAGTTAAGCCTAGATGGAAACAAACTATTATAAATGGAAATCATAATATCTCGTGGGGTATATGTGGATCACGGTATACAAGTCTGACTATTTGGGACAGCTTAGCGGCCACGGAAACAATATGCGTATTTCACGACGAAGTTTCTTGAAAAACAACCCCTACTACGTTAAAACGACATACAACTGAAATGGATATCGAATTTAGTACTATTGGCTGATTTAACATGAAATTTTTTTTATTTTTTGCTATGAAATAAGACTGTTTTTGTTTATATTTATTGTTAAGTTGTTTTGCACGTTCATTCGTTTAGTTTTTGTAACGTTAAATTTGCTTTATTGGCTATTTGAGTAAATAACTTTCGGTTATAAATATGCTGGTATCGTCTGCGTAAATAATCATATTAACATCTGATCCAGCAAGGACGACGTCATTTATGTACACATTGAAAAGAAAAGGACCCAGAATACTCCCCCGTGGTGCGCCGCAAGAAACAGGAAGTGGATCGGAAAAATGATCGTCTATACAGACTGTTTGTACACGATTATGTAGATAAGACGTGACTAAGGATGCATTTTTCCTCGGAGACCATAAAGTTGAAGTTTTTGAACATGATTTACATTATAAAATGCTCTAATTAAATCGACAAAGATACCAAAAAACAATTTTCCTTCCTCGAGTGCAGTCAAGATTAGTTCTTTCTGCGTGAGCAATGCGGACTCGGTACCGAGTCTTTTACGGAAACCAAATTAAGATTCATTTAGGAGGTTATGTTTCTCTCAAAATCAATACACCGGTATAAAATAATTATTTCCAGTCATTCTAAAAAATAAAAGACAACGAAGTATTTATACGGGACCGCAGTTTCCTATGTAATTTTTATCCCCTTTCTTATACAACACGTTTACATGGGCAACCTGCATTCTTCGAGAAAAAACTGCCTAAGGCAAAGGTTAAATATTTGCGTTACGTTAGGTGCTAGAAGGTCAACAACGTGCTTAATTGGTTTCTTTGAAATCCATCAACGTTTTTAGCCTTGCGTTTGCTTAAATTTATAATTGTAGTAATAAAGACTTGTTCATTTACAGGGTTAAGAAAAAGAGATTTCGGTTTGGACGTAATGTTCACAAGGGTACAGTTCGTTACAGTTTTATTGACAAAATTAACGAAATACTTGTTAAAAGCATCTGCAAGTTCTTCTCCAAATACTTCACCATTATTTGTGTTTTTCATGTTGACTTTGTCGAGAGAGACATTCCTTTTTAAGACGGTGTTTAATCTTTTCCACATTTGTTCAGAAGACCCTGCGCAGGAATGTATTGGTTTGCAAAGTAATCGCGTCTTGGCGTTTTTAGTTCTTTGTCTTTAGACGGTTACGACACGTTTTAAACTCACGTAATATTTCTCGGTCTTTAGTTTTAATAAATTGGCTGTATAGAGCTTGTTCTTCTTAGCTATACTTGCGGGAAGCTCGGAGTTAACCCATAGCTTACGAAGTTTTCTGCATTTTCTAATACGTAGACAAGGAAAACTTGCAGCATATATTAGTTCTAAAACGCCGAAAAATTAATTAAAAAAAAGCGTGGGAAATCGTGAGCGCTGACATCTGAGATCCCGAAAGGGAGAACGAGAAAAAGCACGACAAAAAATTCGAAGAAGGAAGTAGACGCAAGATTAGGTGTGTTCAATTTTACCTCAGCTAATATTTTACCTTTGTACACTGCACTCCGCCGGTGTCTTCTTGTGCAATAAAGCAAGAACACACTAGGCAACAACCGCGAAATTGTTTGCATGCCGCCCCCCCCCCCCCTTTTCTTTTTTCCAAACCTCCAACTAATCGGGGTTACTGTCTCAAGCCCTGGAGCAATCCGTTCACCAGGAATATAGCCTACACTTTAACAAATGAAATCCGTTTTTTTTCGACCTTGTAAGAATACAGATAGAGGGGCTGTGAAAAAAAAAAGCTGCGCTTAGCAGCTTGACGAGCCCGCAGCTTACGGCGATGTTACTTATGGCAATGTTAATCGAATTAATTGCGAAAGCTTGCGAAACGTGTGTAGTGAAGTCAGCCCGTCGCCTGCTAACTCGTGTCTAAAGTCGGTGACAAATCAAGAGTGCAGTACAGCCTCCTCCTGCAAAGCCCTCCACTCTTTCCACTATGTGTGTCTCATTGTTAAAGTGGAAAGAGGTGAGGGTTGTGTGGGGCATCATGTTCTGCCTCTTAATCTGCAACACACTATAAAGCCAAACAGTACCTGTGGCGTTGCCTATGTTGAATAAAATAATACCGTTATTGTTTTTTAAATGTATAATGAGCAAAGTAGAAAATAATATATCTTCACTGCAGTCAAATGTGCACAGTCTTCCATGCGCTCGGTCTTTTTTATGTTGGAATTGTAGAAAAAAAAACCGTGA